AGCTCCTTCTGCTCGTCCTTCAGAAACTTCAGCAGCAGCTTCGACTCTGTTTGATCACGTCTGCGTTCACTTTGTACGGGTTCTCACCTGGAAAGAGTCAAGCGGTGAAGGTGTGCAACTTCTGGGAGCAGGGTTCGTGTGGAAGATCATTTGTTTTGTCAGGTTTTGAATTTGAAATGCTGCTGAATTTCTCTCTCTTTTTTCTGTTTTTAATCATTCTTTTTTTTTTTTTTTTTATTAAGAACAACACAAGATGCATTCCATTAAACATATCATCAACTGTTGGTTCTTATTTTCATATATACCTGTTTAACCCCCCTTTCCTTTCCTTCCCTCCTTCTCCTCCCCTCTCCCTTTCCTAATCTCCTCCAGTCTTCCTTTCCCTTCCCACCTTCTCCTTCCCTATTCTTCCCCTCCTCTTCCCCCCTTCCTCCCTCTCCCTTTCCTCCTTTCTCCTCCTTCCCTCCTCTCCCTCCTCCTCTTCCTCCTCCCTTCCCTCCATGTCCTCCCCTCTGACTTCCCTCCTTCTCCTCCCCTCTCCCTTTCCTAATCTCCTCCCTTCCCTGCTTCTCCTTCCCTCTTCTTCCCCTAATCCTCCCCCCTTCCTCCCTCTCCTACCCTCTTTCTCCTCCCTCCCTCTTCCCTTCCCTTCTTCTCTGCTCCTCCCCCCCTCCCTTACCTCCTCCTCCTCCTCCCTTCCCTCCTTCTCCGCTCCTCCTCCCTCCCTTACCTCCTTCTCCTCCCCACCTCTTCCCCTCCTCCCTTCCCTCCCTCTCCTCTGCTCCTCCTTTCCCTCTTCTTCCCTCCTTTCTTCCTCCCTTCCTCCCCTCCCTCTCTCCCCTTTCCTCCTCTCCTTCCTCTCCTCCTCCCCTCTTCTTCCCCTCCTTCTCCTCCCTTCCCTCCCTCTCCTCCCCTCCTTCTTTCCCTCCTTCTCCTCCCTCCCCTAACTCTCAAACTCAACTGTGAAAAAAACATATTCTGATCAATTCTTACACTGACTTGTATCGCCCTCTGGTGGTGGTTTAAAAGAACGCAGCCTGGACATTAGAACCATTTGGAGGTATAAATGTAGTGATGGTTACTAAAGTTACTGCAGCCCTGTACTCCGCCCAGAGCCCTGACATCCCAAATCGTGCCCAAAACGAGGCTCAAGACGAGAGGTGACGGAGGCTTTCTGTGGCAGCGCTCAGACTGTGGACCAACCATCCTCTTCCTGTCAGATCCTCTGTCTGTGACGCAGTTTAAGACAAGACTGAAAACTCACCTCTTCTCCCCTGACATTTAGTACGAGCTGTTTTCAGGTTCTCCTGGTGTTTTATTGTAGTTTTCACATGTTATCAGTATATCTGTATAAGTTTATGTTTCTTGTTAAGCTCTTTGGTCAGCTGAAGTGGTTTTAAATGTGCTACATAAATAAACTTGAATTGAACCGACTTGAATAAAAACAAACACATGCTTCTATTTTTCTGGCTAAAAAGTTACATACAGTGGAATTAAAAACAGATTAAAAGGGAGATAATAGAATAAAATAATAAATGCTTTAGTGACTCACAGATGATGGCTGATTGACAGATGCAGGTCATCAGTGCTCTCACGAACAGGTTAGAAGAGGTCTGCTTCTCGTCCAGGTTGGCCTATCAAGTGACAGACATATTATTATTATTATTATTATTATTATTATTTGGCCCGAGCGCCATGTGTGGCGTAGGGCCTATTGTTACTGCGGGAAGGCGTGTGCGCAGCACGAAGTGCACGATGTCAAGTGCGCCCGCGAAAACAGAGCGGGAAGCGCTCTCCCCTTTCCAAACACACTCACACTCATGTCAGTGACTGGTGCCCGCTGACATGGCACGGTGGCATTGCCCGTGGGCCGCGTCAGAGGCATATTTGTAATCGTTCACCCCCAAAACGTAGTGCGCCCGCGAAAACAGAGCGTGAGCGCTCTCCCCTTATCAACACTCAGTGCCACTCAATAGTGACATCATGCATCCAATAGTACAGATGCATTGCCGTGCGCGTCGGGCAATGTAATCGTTACTCTCGAACGCCAAAAAGGTGCATGGTATGTGGGTATCGAAAGGTCAAGACGACGCAACCGCTCGTCTGCAAGGACCGCACGGTGCACTGACTGAGCCTTCAATGATATATATAAACATGACAGACAGCATGAAAACTAATGCAAACCTAATCAAAGTCTCAAAATAGAACACAAAACAACTTGAAAATACATCTAATGACAGGAAGATTGTTTTTCTGTGCAAGATCATTGAGATTGTAAGCGCTACTTTAACATCACTAATTAATTTAAATTTTAATTAGCATTAGCTTCATCCAGAAGCCAGAAATGGAACGAGCCAAGCGACTTCATGAAAAGGGCCTAGTTTAATTTTGTACATATTATATAACAAATTAGGCTTTCCAGCTTCATTAAACAATACATTTTGCTAGATTACACTATAGAAGTATTTCAGGTGATATATGCTTATCATGCTTAACCTGGCTCATGCCAGATTGATGTGTTGCACTCTGAATTTAGTTCTTCACATTTATTAATTTGAAACATCTCTGAGGAAATGCTAGAATATCATGACAAATATTTGAATCTGATTGGTCAAAGCATCACAACAGTGGAACAAGCTGAAATCCATCTTGCTGTGCAAGATTATATCATGAATATTGTAGTTAAAATGCAACAGACTCATGAGCTAAACTGTGTATTGCAGAATGCTGGACTGAATGGTTTAACAGAGATGATCCCACTGGATCAGGAGACTGGGAGACACTAGACAATCTATACCTTGAAAACCCTGGGAAGATCTGCAACAGGCCTCTTCGTATTCAGGTCAGGACCACATCTGGGCAGAGTGCATCTTCAACCGGGGACATCATTGCAGTGTAAGGATTTAAAGACATCATAGTAATTTTTGTGAATGAGTTGTGTTTTCTTTTTTATTCAATCCTTGGGTTCTCTTCAACAGGTCAGACACAAGCAAGGGATTTGTTTGTAAAAACTTTGACCAACCATCAGGTTCAGAGTGCAAAAATTATGAAGTCCGTTTCCTCTGTCCTCAAGAGTTTTGTCATCCCAAAGGTATGAATAACTTCAAACGTAGCAAAAGGGGTGGGGAAAAATTATTTTAGAATGCAGCATCAGTTCAAATAAAACAGCGTTTGAAGACGACCACTGTGTCTCTGTGCCATGCCCCTTCCCTCTTGTCATTTAGAGTCACATTCAGGAAAAGGCTTTCACATGCAGGCCTAATGTCGACAGAATTCCATCTGGTAGACTAATCCCAATCACAGAAAATACAATAAGCCACTTGAATAAAGCAACTGTATCAAATACTTTTAGCTTAATCTTGTAGTTCTGCACATTTAAAAAGTAGCTACTATTTGATATGATACTATTTGATATTTGATATGAATGGTAGCAAAAAGTCTGATAAAACATTAAGATGCATCAGTGCATTTTTCCTGCATTGGCTCATGAGCCTCAGAATTGTAATCAAATCAGATCTTGAGACACCCATAGATTTCAGTAACTTTTTTGTCATCATTATTATTATTATTTTATTCTTTTGCCAGTGTGCTGGACCAAGTGGTTTGACCGAGACAGTCCCAGTGGCATTGGAGACTACGAACTCCTGAGTAACTTGAGAGATGAAAATCCTGGACAAATCTGTGAACAACCACTTTTCATAGAAGCTCGGAACAAGCTCAATAATTTGCCTGCTGACTTCACGGGACAGTCAATCCACATGTAGGTTCATTATTTATTTATTTATTTTCCCACAAATAAGAACAAAATGAGTAATTGTAGCAATGTACATATTTTCAGATACAGCCCCACTGAAGGTTTTGTTTGCCGCAATTGTGACCAGAGAGAACGTCGCTGCCAGAACTTTGAGGTCCGCTTTGGCTGTCCATGTGATGTTTAAACACTTACTTACCTGTCATTTTTGCATTAAATTATGATGATCAAATCCAGGCCACTGGCTTCAAGATATTTACCTTGGGACAACAGATGGAAATTAGCATTTGGCTATAATCCGGTGTGTTGACATTCATGTTTAGATTTAGGTTTATGTTGGATCATGTCTGTCCATTAACATGCACTGTTCTAATCACATAAATAAATTATTTGTATATTTATATTGAGTCATTTTCTCTTGTGTCATTTGTACCAATAAGAACATTTCAGGTATGATTAATAAAAAAATAAAAATAAAAAAACGTATGTAACTTCTGTAACTGTACAAAGAGTTTCTAAGGAGCCCATCTGATGATGTACGTGAAAAAAGATACATCGTGGCCTCAAATTACTATTTCGTTCCCACTATATGTATTTCGCTCTCACGTTTTAGTTAATTTGTTCCCATGTTTTAGCTAAATCGTTCCCACGTTTTAGTTAATTCGTTCCCAGCTAAATCAATTGAGATTTAGAATTCCACTGACACTCTGAATTTGCAAACAGTTTATCCTAAGCACGTTATACATTCAGCATCTCCACTGTTGTGTGTGTGTCAGACTACTGGGCTTTCAGACCAATAGTGATGTGTACGAATTGGCTAAAATGTGGGAACAAATTAACTAAAATGTGGGAATGAATTACATATTGTGGCAACGAAACAGTAATTTGAGGTCATGATTTACTATCTTTTTTGCTGCCCTGACTCCACTTGAAGTAAATAAGTGGAGAGACTTGTGTGGAAAAAAATGCTGGCTATCGATGCAAAGATGGATAGGGCAATGTCTCACAAACAAAAGGGTGCCACCTCTATTAAATGAAATAAAAATTTCAGCCTATAGTGCAGAGGTACTCAACTTGAGGACTCCAGTCCGGATCTGGACCCAAATACAATGACATCTGAACAGAGACTAAAATCTCTCTTTCTAGCGTTTTTTTCATAGCATTCTGGATTCACACGATATTTCATTGGCATGTGCTTTTTAGACGTGATTCTGTGTAAAAAAAACTTTAAAAAAAAAAAAAGCATAATGAAGAAGAAAAAAATTTTGATAAAATCAGAAACCAAAAACACACATTTCATCTTGAAAGGTTATAGCAGTAACAATAGAACAGAGAACAACAAGCTGTTAACATATTAAGTTCTTCAGATAATTATAGCATAAACAACAGAACAGAACAAGTTTACCTAAATCCACTGAATTCTTCACTTCACCACTTTTGAGCAATACCACGACGTCCAGAGGTAAACAGAGCACCACATCTTCTTCTGCATACCTGTTGTAAGACTTAGCGTCAGTTCCAGTTAGAATTATTCTGGTCTTTCTGAATCCCAACAGGATGGTTTCGGTGTCACTGAAGTCCAGGCTTTGTCAGTCCATACAGTGACTTCCAGGAAAGTTGCATGGCGCATCCTCTGGGTTGCAGTGGAGCTGTGTTTTCCATCCCCGGCTTTCGCCAGTCCCTCACAAGTTTCTCGTTCACTCCAAACTTTCTTTCTGCTGCTCAGTTACGATTTAAAATTGTCAGTGGTACAGAAGTATTGGTGCGATCGACTGACAGGACACCAGACTGAACAGCAGCTCTGCAGTCTTGTAAATGACTACCCCTGCTACAGAGGGTTTAATTTGATAGACACCTTGAAAACCAAAGTGAAATAATGATGTGGCAGGATGATCCATTTTACCAAAATTTACTTTCTGCAACTCAAAATGATTCTCAACATCTTGTGTGGCGTCTACGTGATTGTCTGCATGTTTCACAGCGTTGTGGCGTGCTCATAATGAGACGACGGAGGTCTTGTGGGACGTCCCATATATTATATATATATACATACATACATACACACACACTCTTTACTTGTTATTTGTTTTTTAGTAAAAGTAAAAAAGTTATACACTATGCAATTTTTATTGTAAAATATTTGTATTTGTCTGTTTTGCAGTGTCAGTAAAGTACTAATGCATTTATTGATGAGTACTTTACTGTATACATTACCATATTTTTTATTTGACTGTACTTTCAATATAACTTTTAGTGTTTGTTTGACAGTAAATTGGCACCATATTGAAAAAGTCATCTTACTGTACCATTCCTCTTCGATGTAATGGTCCAAACTGTGCTTTGTACACATTAATGGCATTTTGAAGGGAGGATATATGAATTGAGACAGAGACTCAGATCCTGGTTCACTGTGCATGTAGGTTGGCTTTGGACTTCTTCCATTCTGGCTGTCACCTACCAACTATATTATCAATAACATGAGTGTACTGTAATGTTGCGACCGAGAACCCTTATTTACTCACAGAATCCGTTCTGGCATAAAAAAGGACAAGGGCAATGTGGTATAAAAGTTACACCTCTTTATTTAATCTTCTAAACATTTTAAAAAAATATATTTCATTTTCTGGTTCCCTTCTTGATATAATTACACACCACTCAATTGTCATAGATGTAGGACTCAACCCCACCCAAACTAAAACACAACAAATCAAATTAATAATCCAAACCAAACATTAATACCAAAAAAAACAAACACTAGTTGCACCCTACATTTACAATAAGTTAAAGTGCGGGTGCGCTGTAAACCTGGATAATGTAATAATACTTAAAGTGTGTGTGCCAAGGTACCTGAGGTAGACTTCGTAACAATAAAGGGCATAAAATTCCAGCTGGTGAAAGTGCTCGTGCTGAGGAGGCCTATTTGGGTGAAAGTGACTTGTGCCAACCCTGAGACCTGACCTTGCATTGTACTGACCCACCTGACCAAATATTGCACTTCCCTCCAAGACCTCGGCTACTGTTAATCAATATTCAATTAAAACCAACAGTAAGAATAAGAAAAAGAATAAAGAGCAAGAATAATGCTGCAGTGGCAATCTGTTACACAGGGGGGGGGGGGGGAAGCGTCAAGTAGACCATTAACGACCACCACCCCAGATATACAACAAAAGAGCATTTACCGCAAATTTAGAAGGGGGAGGGGGGCACTCTACATGGGGCTCGGCCGCCGGCACCACCGCCTACTCCAGACAACCTTTACAATGTAGTCAGACACATCGCATTAAAGCAAATTCTATAAGGAATATTAAAACAACAACTCCGGTACTTACACGCGCTGCCTTCAAAAGCCACCGAAAGCCCCGACTGCCACACCACGGCGCGCGCAGTCTTTTCTAATCGCGCAATCAGTGACGCCAGGAGCCACGCGCAGCGACGCACAGGTGGACGCACTCACGGACACAACACAGTAGGACAACATAGACTAATCACCCGGTTACAGTACGTAACATACAGTAACTGAAAACAAGTTTTTGTAAAGCAAACGCACCTTTAGGGTTTATTGACAACATCTATTTTCCACCTAAAGACACAAAATAAATAAAATGAACTACAATTGCACATTTTAGCCAAAATGACACACTTGATCTGCTAGTAACATCACATGTTATATTTGAGTGAGGTACACACTTGTAAACAAACTATGTATACAAACGGTTTATGGCAGAGTTTTACAGTTTTATGTATCACTTTTAGCCATATTTGATTAAACAGTATAATATAACCAAGCAAACTGTATTATTGCTCAGTTTATTTGCTTGAAAATGTATGGACAAACTTCAAATGATTTCTTTTGTAATAACATGCATTATCCATACCTGGTTCATTAATGCACTAGGCTATATGAAACATCGAGCTGGCTAGAAATGTACCTTTGTTAGTAAACAATTATAAATTAAACATCTAACCATTGAGTGTGGGAGGGGGGGAGGGCTGTGCCTTTATTTGCATTTAAAGGAGACAGCACAAAATGAGTCATGGGCAGTCCGTGCTCTGAGAAGGACAGGAGATTATGAGGAATTAAGAATATAGGATCTATTATTACCGTTATTATTCACCATACATACAAGTTTTGGTAAGTTATAAGAGCATAATATTTGTTCTTTAAGAATTATCCAGGCTTAGTAACAGTAATGTCAACTAACATACAATATTTTTTCCACTTCAAAGGTAGTATTGAAGTTGTTCTGAGGCCAGTGATCAAATTTGGTTATTATAATCCACTGTCCTTCACTGGTATGAAAACAGAAGTTGTCAACACTGTTAAATACTTAATGTTATTTACTTTCTTTTAAAGAGTAAAAAAGAACTTGCTTCACAATTGTAGTTAGAGTGTAGGATTCAGATAAGATCCCATGACGTGGTAATTTGGCATTTTTCAGTTTGACGTCAACGCCATCTGAATTCTTAAAAACACAAAGCAAATGCATGTGTGTGTAAATGCATGCGTGTGTGTGACATCATCATAATCAGACCATCTCTACAGTTCACTTTAAAAGGTGCGTCGCAAATGTTTTGGTGGAGGGTCCGTTACCTGCTTGTCCTCATGGAGATGTTATTGCTTTGTCTAGAATGTTTCATGGTAGAGATTATAAACCTATTTTTTCAAGGGAGACACATATAGTCTACATTACAGGTCAGATCTGTGGAGATGCAACCCTATTCACAGAGACAATTATGGTATTTTTTCCCTCTGGTTATTTCCACAGCTGCTGGTCGATGGCAAGCTGCAGCAGATCCCAGTCTGAGGAGCACTGAAGGTGATGAATAATGTGTGGTTGTTTAATGGCAATTATTTTCACTTGAAATGCCAAAGTCAATGCACTATACTATGATTAAAGGCCAATAATACAAATAATGTATAATCTGTCTCCTTTCATGTCCTGAGACAGTGAGGGATCTATAGGCATTCAGTGTATATTTGTAGGAGCAGCATAGGGACACACATTTGTACTTGCTGTATACCGTATTTTTCAGACTATAAGGCACACTTCAAATCCTTTAATAACGTGCACCTGATTATTCTCGTTTGTTTTCATACATAAGGCGCACTGGATTATAAGGCGCAAAACATACAGAGGACACTTGAGACTGATCTTATCCCAGGCATCCATGATCCATTGGCAGTAATTCGCAGAAATTGGCGTAATTCGCTCGACGTTGCCTCCCAGACTTGGTGAATGTGTATTATGAATGTGAAGGTGGGTGGATCATTTAAATTTGGATTTTCATTTCCTACGAGGACGACTCAAATATACATTGAGTAATACTGTGTTTACTGTAGCTTTGTGACCATTTATTTACACCTTACAGAAACAAAACTATACGGCTAATTTGCACAAACTGTAAGCGCTGAAAAAATAGCTTGCTGCTTGTGTCGCTGATGTACTCTGCTTCTGTTGGACTAAAGGACATGACTCAGTGGAATATTTGTGTACTTTTTGTGACAGAGGATGTGCTGCTGAGTCTGTTCTGTGCAAAAGGGTTTTGTGGCTCTGGGTGTTTTTTTTCTGTGGGAGATGCTCCAAATGGCTCTTTAAGTATTTAAGGTTCACGACCCCTGATAAACACGAACGCCAGGTTTAAATCCTCGCCTCCTAGCACTGTGCACCTCATCGCAGACCCATAAATGAAAGACAGCGGCAACAAGGCGACGGTGGCAGTGTGCGTTGAGTTGACGGAGAACTATACTTTGCCCTTTACTCCGTGAGGTTCCTGACTGTGGTAGCTGTAATGTGTAATTCATAGCTTACCAAAGTTGTACTTAAACATTGACAGAATTTGAGCGCCATGTACCACATCAAACTGGTCCAACGTCACTAAGCACAACCAGATATAATAAATAAGGCACAGTGTCAATTTTTGAGAAAATTTAAGGATTTTAAGCCTGCCTTATAGTCCGAAAAACACTGTAACTTTTATAGATTGTCAAAACTTGTCTAAATTGCACGATATGATCAGACTAATACAAAAGATGACAAGACTTTTATTTGAGTCAAATAAATGTTTAATCTGTCAGAATATGTTGCTTCTTTCTACTCACAAGTTACACAGTTGTTTCTGCTGTTTGAATGTGGGATGGGCATTCGATGAAATTTTCTTAATCGATCGTTGGAAGAATTAACGATCGATTATCGATTAATCATTAATGTTTTTATATTAAAATGATCATCATTATTATTACTATCTGCACTACTAATCTGCATAAATAAATTCAGCTTTACGACATATAAACCGTAACGACTCTAGACCCACATCAGCCCGTTTGACATTATAATGTGTTTAATTCAGTTTTGTTCAACTCTCACAGAAACGAAACTTAAAACCGCATCGCTAATTTGCATAAACTAAGCAAAGATAAAACTACAGCTCTTTTGTCGCTGATGCAGTCAATTTCTGTCGGATTAAAAGACATGACTCAGTGGAATACAGGTTAGTGTGATCATATTTGCATTTGTCAAAACCAGGACACCGTACAGGGGGAGGGAGGTTGGGACTCGTCATCGACATTGAGCGACTCTCACCTGGCAAAACTTTTTTCCACTGGACACCAAAACATATGTGCTGCTTTATACACTGTGCACATGGACTCCCACTTGTCCCGAACGCAACGGAAAGCGTGGAATTTCTTGTACAAGTCATCGTTAAATACACATTTGTGCTTCGGTACGTTGCAGACTGACCCACTGTTTGTGTCTCGCTCCTTCTGATGCAGAGACACATGTACAGACCCTGTTGGTCACGCTACAGCAACCTACATTCGGTTTGTCGATTAAAATGAACATAATCGATGAAATTCTTAATGATCAATTATCGATTAATCGACTAATCATGCCCATCCCTAGTTTGAATGTAATTTGGTTTGATGACAAAGGTACAGGTATTCAGTTCAATGCAGGTGTTCACTTAACTGATGTCAAAACTCTGATAAATACTCATCCAGGTACTATCTTAAAATCTTAAATTCAACATATTAACACATATTACATGAAGAATATATTAGCTCTTATTTAGATGTGACTGGTTAACACAAGGATACACTACTGCCCTCCTGTGGTTTGTGAGAACATGACACTAAAAAACAAGTAAACACAATTTGCAACATACAACATTCTTGCAAATTCCTCGCTTTTAAATAAATGAGTTAGTCACTAGTACTATCAACAGAAATGTCCTTCTAAGAGCAGGTATTGTGCTTCTATGGGATATTCACTGCTGAAACACAACTCAGATCTCAGTGTTAACTTTTATTATTTTGAAAATGCTGTAAGTTTAATTGCACATAACTGCACATTGCATCATTGTATTTTTATGAAATACTGAGAGTTCATGGTGCTCGGGAGAGATCCCTAGATTGGACATGCATGGATGACGTTTCAAACCTCTTCAGGCATGTTTTTGATGAGGGAACAACATTATAACGTGTCAAAACTCTAAGCTCCAAAAAGTTCATTTTGCCTAATACTCCTGCTATAACAAAATGTCTATATATAATCATTAGGTTGTCCACATGAATTCATTTTATGTTGCTAAATTCTGGCAGAATTCTTTTAAATCGTTTGTGGCTTTATCATTTCTTGCACATTTTATTAACCCTTTCTTGGTTTGATGGTAGACAACATCAACATATTTAATGATGTTCTGATGTTCAGGGTGCTGCTGGCATTGGGAGAGAGAAATGTCTTCTCTTGAATGATGCATCACCACTAAAACCACCTTTTTCCCATTTGCTCTCCCTGAAAAACAAACAAATTGAAGTAAATAACTTCATCTAAAACAAAGACCAAATCATAATCCAAATTTGGACACACTTTCACAGCCTGTATTACATATTTCCTTCATGAGTTTTAGCAGAATTGGTTTTGCCCCAGTACAGATATATACACGCATCAACAATCTCAGACTTGCGGTCACTGTGCAATTCATACTGGGAAGGATTTTCTGAAAAAGTGAGCATCAAACCGCCACGTTTTATTTCCCCAGTGGGATGTGTCTATTGACAAAGTCGATCTTTTCAAGTCTTTTGAACCATATCACTTTTGTTTCTGGTTCTGATATTGTCATATTTTAGTTTTGGGATTCAGACATTGTTAGTTGTGTGGTTGTTGGATCCTAACAGCGGAAAATGGCTCAAGAAATGTGTTTGCGAACTCCGTAACTGCAAAAGGGAATCAGATGTGTGTGACTACAAACCTCCATTCAAACGGTTTCCCTACCCAAAGGAATTGAACAATAGTGAAAGGCGAAGGTGATGGGCAGGATTGCTCCACGGGAAAGACGAAAAAGGAAACCTTTGACTGCCTAAATCATCCCAATTTTGCAGCGAACATTTTGTATGTGGAGCACCACCAAAGCAAAACCCCGATCCCTCACTCAGCCTCGGTTACGAATTAAAAAAGTCAATGCCAAAGCAAAAGGCACCAGCTGTTCACCAAGAAACACCTTCCACTGCAAAGAGACCAACATTTAAAGTTGCTGTAAAACTACAAGAACAAGAAAGTGCAGCTCAGTCTGTTTGTCTTCTGCACCTCTCACTTAACAAACGGGATCCCTATTTGATGACGATATCAGAACAAGAAACAAAAGCAATATGGTTCAAAAGACTTGAAAAGACTTTGTCAAGAGCATCCCACCAGGAAATCAAACACAGTGGTCTGATGCTCACTTTTTCGGAAAATCCTTCCCAGTATGAATTGTGCAATGACCGGAAATCTGAGATTCTTGATGCATGTATTGTAGAAGCAGCTCTTGAGCTCAAACTAGGTGTGCTGTGTACTGTCTGCATCTATGCAGGAAGCATTTTATTGTCTGATAATTATAAAGTGCATGCTGTTAGCATGCTAGTTGATCTTAGTGACTGCAAAACTCCACTCTGGCCTCTGAAAGTTGTGGAAAGTGTTTAGAAATGCACTAAGTTATAATTTATAAGTGGAATAACTTTGAGCCACCCACTTAAAATGAACTAGATCTGTTTTTCATGTTTTCAAGACAGTTGAAATCAGGTACAGTGCACTTAAACTAATTTTAGCAGAAATACTGAAAATGTGTGCTTTGTTGATTTGTGGACAGTAAAGATGTCTGTGCTTTTCTCTGTTTGTTCTGCTGTTGTCAATGTCACATTTGATCAGTGAGCTTCAAGTATTCGTCTGGTCTTTCTGCCTTTTCCTCATCGTTTTCAGTGAGAGCTGTTCCATGTAGATAAATGTGTAGAACTTAGTTCAGAGTGCTATACATTAAAGGTGCACGATGTGAGTTTTCTGGTGGAGGGTTCGCCACCTGCTTGTGTCTTACACTTATTCCATTGCTGGTGATTTTGCTCTAGCAGAAAAGTTACATAGTGCATCTTCAAAGTGGAACTAAACACTAAAATATGTATATGGTGTTTTAATAGGTTTGACTACTATTTCAAGTCTTTTCCCCCCATTATTTTTGTGCAAACTAGGTAAATTAGCTGCTTTCAGATAAAGAAAAAAAATAAATCTAAGTTTGTGCTGCCTTCAGTGGCCTCTGCATTTTCCAGTAGTTGGTGACATCACAAAAGACTGCCCTGACTACAGCCAGGAGCTTCTGATTCCAAACACCAGGCTGCAGGGGCGGAGTTTGAAGTGTGGGACACTGTTAGACCAATCACACTGTTCTTTATACAGCCCCACCCCAACTCCACCCTCTTCTGTAGTCCTCCAGGTACTGCCCAGTTTAGCAGCTCTGTTTGAAATGTGGTTTTGATGTCATTGAAATCCATGTACATTAGAGTCTAGATCTGCAGACACATAAATACACCATTATTACAAACATACATTTACCTGAGATATTCCTCATGGCATCATCCACGTCTGATCCGACACGGGTAGTGACGGGACAGAAGAGCAGCACCACATCACAGTCTGCTGGATCTGAACACTTTTCTACACTGATCTTCTTCAGGATCTCTTCATCAGCACCAAATGTTTTAGCAGCTACTTCAACATAGACTTTGGCTTTTTTTTGTCCAGACAACCAATGACCAGGCAACCGCCAGGAATTATCTGGAAACAAAGCAAGATTGTTTTATGATTAATCACAACAGTAACACGTCAAAAAGTAACCAGTCAAACCAAGTTAGTTTGCATATAATTTTTTGTTATCTTACTCACGGCTGTCAAAATGTACTAAAAACTAGATAGACACTGATTTGAACATAAAAAGGACAGAATCCAACCTTTTTAACTTTTGTTTCTTGTCTAACTTCTTCATTTTTGATGCAAATGGGCAGATTTTTGGCAGAGTGATGCATCTTTGAATGTTTAAACATTTTCCCATCAGTTTTTCAATCTTAACCTATTCTAATTTATTCTAGGAAAGATAGTCCCTTTGTGGGCCCTTCAGCACAAAAATGTTCAATTGATTTCCATTATAATCATTATTTTCAACCAGCCATTGTACAAAGTGTAAAACATGAAATATCTAAGTGTTATGTATTTTATGAAACCTCTGGCTTTAAATGAGTGTTCTGACATATCTTTTGGAGGATGATGTCATTTTACCTTATATGGTCAATGGTGATACATGTAATTCACCATTGACTTCCACTATAATTGCTATTTATCAACCTGCCCTCGTACAGAGTATAAAACATGTAATATCTCATTTCTGTATTTTTGCTGAAACCTCTGACTTCAGGTTAGTGTCGTGACATAATTTTTGAACAATTAAGTAATTCTGACCTTATATAGTAAGTGGTAAATGTATCTAATTTTGCATTGGGGTGGGGCACTGGCATTGGCACTGGCATTGGCACTGGCATTGGCACTGGCCCCTCCCCTCAGGGCTCCATGACATCAGGTGGATGTGAATGAGTGAGTGTTTGTGGAGCTACAGGAGTCCCAGAGAACAGTGACAGACTTTTACTCCATGTATTTGTAAGCCCAGCAGAGATACAGTATCAGATACATACGATACTGTCACAGTTCTGCCTTTTTGTTTGTTTTCCCCAGTCCAGCTCCGTTTGTCAGTCCATCCCGGTCCTCCTTTTGTCACCTCCCTCCTTTCCCTACAGCTGCCTCTCATTCCGTAATCAGCCCAGGCCCAGTCTATATATACTCCCTCTTCTCCCTCAGTCCTTGCCAGATTGTAGATCTGTAAAGACGAACTCTCAAGCTCCTGAAAACCTGAACCCTGATTTCTGAAAACCCTGTATTACCCCTGAATCTGATCTGTTTGCAACTTCTGCGATTCTGTGTTTTTCCCTGTTTGTTGTCCCTGTTCCTGAGTTTACTTCCAGTTAATTTCTTACTAGTGTATTTCCCAGTCTTGGAGGATATTTCCGTTCACATTTTATATAATATATTCCTGTCATATGTTCAGTCTGAGTTACCATTATACATTACCTGTTAGAGGACACTTTCTGTTACTAAGACTTTGTTTGCCTGTATACTCGTGTTGCATTTGAGTCCAATTTACCTGTGTGATAGATGCGTCCTAAAGCTGCTCTTCTATATACAGTACTTGACTATATGGACAATATCAGACTATTTCATTATGTCCAAAAGCCTTACAATTTAGTTTGGGTAAGTGTCTATCTCTGGGATTAGTGTCTAAGGAGTGTGGAAGACAGTATTTTTTAGTAAACATTAGTTTTTGATGAGGTCATTGTAAGATCTATGTACATGCAGGGACAACATCAGACGTATGAAATCTATGATTAGAAATATAAAATGCCCCAAATGCCTCCAAAAATCTTCTATAATTCAAATGAATCATTGTTATCATTATTAAAAGGCTCAGAGAATCCTATTTTTAAATGATTATAAAAAGAACACATGTTGGTGTAAACATGTTTGTCCTATTGCTTCATACATGATGTTTTGTGTGGGCTTCAATGGGAAAAGTAGCTTTTTGTTTACATTGTGCTAAATATCCTAGAAATGATGTAAACAGCCAAAAAGTACCTCAGAACATTAATTAGAAGCCAGACAGATGTAAACAAAGTGGAGCTGCATGTTCTAGAATGTCTTATTAGAGCAGGTTCAAAACAGTGATTTGAATGGGTTCCAGTGAGCACACTTTTGTACAGAGCTCCCACAGCGTGTTTATTTAACTTTGCAAAAAAATAAATAAGTGCAAATAAATAACTGTTGATACTAATCTTTCACATACACCAGGGTTGAACAACCAGCACTAAAAAGTCCAGGTTGCATCAACTGAATTGAAAAGAATCCACATTTTGTAATATTTGAACTGTGAAATGCAGTGACTTTATGACAAATGTTGAGAAATAAAGAGTCAAAACATAAAAATATGTAAATAAAAATAAAAATATTTAAAATATGAATCAAAAGGTGAAATGTTGGGTGAGCAAATTAAAAAAAAAGTCTGAAAATAGCCAAATGAATTTCAGGTGTACAAAAATGTGCTTTAATATCCTCATATCCTCATGATTTTTTTAATGAAATATGCCAATGCCAAAATAATAATAATAATAATGCATCGGAACAATGATGGCTGATATAGTTTGACACACATCAGGCTCTTAAAGTGGAACTAAAAAAACTCCAGTTTGCATCCAGCATGTGGAAGACATTTCACTTTTTCTGATTTTTGAGTATAAAATGCAGTGGCTTGAAAGAAAGTCAGCAATTAAAGGGTTATAAATATTTGAACATAAAAGTGTTAAAATATGGAGATGAGATGATGATTGAGCAAATTTTTTAAAAGTCTGAAAATATGAATCCTCAGATTTTTATAGCCAAATGACATTCAGTGCACAAAAATGTGCTCTATACCCTCAACGTAACTGTTTTTAAAAGATGTGACTGAGGGTTAATATAAGACCACAGAGCAATATTAAAGAAACTACCGTTATTTTGAATTGATCTGTACTTGAATTTACACTAAAGCTAAACAATTTAAAAGCTACTATTTGTAAGTTTGATTATATATATATATATATATATATATATATTATATATATATTATATTAAAATTTTATTTTTTTTTTTTTTACCAGTGGCATTTGTGAAACCTGTCCCCCCCCCCTCATTTTTATTTTCACTTTCACGTAGCAGAGCAGACAAACACTCTCCGGTGGCTGTTGATCTAAAACAAGTATACGTCCAAACATATGTCTAAAATGTTCTTGGTAAATGCATGTTTTTTACCCCGTGGCATGAGAGCCTCTTCTAGTCTGCCCCTATGAAATTAAATTGAAGTACGTCACTTATCTGGTTTTCCTGGTGTACATGTAAATGGTAGTAACTATCAGACAGTAACATAGGTGACATCTAGTGGTGATATGTGAGAATACAACATGGCCATGTCGACCAGCTAATTACAGATGGTTTAAAGACATCATCAAACTCCATTTCTATACTAAGAAATACTTGATACTGAGTATGTTCTTTATACCACGTGGTCTTATTGTTCCGATACAGCTCAAGAGCAGTATTGATTACTATCAATATTTGCTCAAATAAGTATTCAGTTTGATAGTATTAGTTTTGATTAGTATCTGATTTTTAATACTTTTGACAACTTTACTATTTATACACATGTATTTTTTTAACTCACTCATTATCAATATCACACAAATTTCCTTTAAAATGAAAGGTAAAAAGTGTACCTTTTTGTTGAGGTTGTGAGGATTTTTTTTGTCTCAGAGTGGTGCTTAGGGCTTTTATTAGCTCATTCAGGTTAGTGGCAGGTATGTTGTTTTGTTGATAGTCATCTGCCACTTGTTGTAGATCTGTGAGAGAAGAAACAGATGTTACAGTTATATCACAACACTTTAAAGCTGCATTGTATTAATTCATACATCTTTTGTTAATATTATAAAGCTCCAGTCACTCACAACTCCCCTCTGTCTGTGATTTACCCTTAGATGAGGTAGGCTCCACCCCTGATCAGAACTGGGTTTGATGAACTGTGCTGTAATTTGTCATTTACATTGCCATAGGACTTCCTGTTGTTACTCTCAGAGCGCTGATGGTCTGGAGCAGTTTTCTGGTAGTGGGGCTTCTCTGTGTGTTCTATGGTTTTGAGAGTTGGAAGGGTCTAACTTAGGACTAACTTTGCACAGCAAGATGGATTTCTGTGATGTTAGTCTCTCTGTACCTGCTGCAGTGAGCTTCATCATTTTGGTCTTACAATGTTTGTATTAACCCACAACACAGGATCCTGAATTTTTTTTTCGCTAATTTGTCCATCAAAAAAATCCGATTCATAACAGAGTCTGGCTCCAGATTCACTCGTGTAACAGTGAACAATGCGAGCCTCATTTCACTTCTTTATACAGTCTATGAATTCAACTCATGAGAATTCATCTTGTGAGCTCCCACTGCAGTGATAGGGCCTGAGAGGCGGCTGACACACCAATCACACATTGAAGTTTCTGTGTGAACCAAAGGTGAAAGGCCCAAATGAACCAAAACAAACATGGCCACACCGACAGACATACTTCAGTTATTTTTGCGTTAATATGGACTATTTAGTTTGTGAAAAACATACAGAAGGTAAGTGCTTTTTGCATCAGATTCAAATAGTCGTAGTTTCTACAGATTGAGAATGTGAAGAACTCAACATGAGCCAGTTTATCTAAGAACTGGAACCACATGAATCTGAATATTAAATATATGCAAAAAAAACTTAGTCAGATTTAAGTGTTTATACCATAAATTTGACTATCAGTAAATGATTAAAAAGTAGTGAAATGATCTATGCAAGCAGCAGAATCATTTTAGTTGACAAGTTATCTGAAAAGAATCTACCTCTAGACTAGAATGAAGCATCTTGGAAGCAGTAAGGAGATAATACATCTGAAAACAAGATGAATAACCTGGTATAAGTTTTAAAATTCTTGGTCAGATCAGAGAAATGTGCAGTGTAGTACAGTGTAGTTGGTGTAACAGGCTGTTTGTAAGTAACCCCCAGAATAATGTGACGCAGGTTTCATAGCACACTGCCACACTGAGCAGTTGGTGTTGTACATTAGTTGTGATTTACAGTGGGAGACAAAGGTTAACACAATGTCACAGAAGGCGAGCTGCCCTCCAGTGGCCAAGACCATCACCTATAACATGCGAGTATGTAGCATCCTCAAATACTGCGCCAACATCCTGAGTCCTTATCTATCAAAGGACGAGACCATAACTTCTGACCATGATCCAAAAAGCAAGGTAACATTTATGCTCCAACATCTTGGATGATAAACTCCTGAGAAATGTTGAAAACATCAACAGCTTATCCAGATTGTAGCAGTGCCACTCGCCTCACTCCAGAGGATCACCGAAACAGATCTAATCATCCACGTAAGTATCAGACCTTAAAACCCAACAGACCCAGTCTGTTTATCACAGTTTATCACAGATCAGCATCAACTACCAACTGAAGTCATTTTAAACCAGACTTTGGTCATCTTTAAAAACATCACACACTCTCTGTCCATCTGTGTGATTTACACTCGGACTTTGCTGATTAATCAAGCAGAAGGGCAGTGACACTTTAACCGTCCCTTTCAGGGCCATTTTAGCAACATTAACTAACATTAAGGATGGAACCCACTTTGGTTTGATTGGAGACCACTACTCGTCCTGACCACAGACTGTATATATGAATGGACATAGCTAACGCGCTAGCTGCCACGTGCCAAATAGGACATTCGTCAAGAGGTTCTTCCAGCTCCTTCTGACCCTGGCTCCAATTGATTTACATTAGAATCTTGTGGCTCCTCTTTCTGTAACTGCAGCTGTGAGCCTCGTCATTTTGGTCTTAAATTGTGCGTATTAACCGGCGACACAGGATCCTGAATTTATTTATTTTTTGTTATTTTGTCTGTCAAAAAAATCCTTTTCATAACATAGAGTCTGTCTCCAGATTGGCTCGTGTAACCGTGAACATCACAAGCTTCATTTGAGCGACGCTGAACACTGTGGGTGACGTCACATTCACTTAGTTCTTACTTCTTTATACAGTCTATGGTCCTGACCTGTGCCATTTCAATGTAACAAACCAAAGTGTGATGATTTTCATACTCTTGTGCAAGTCTTCATCAGGCTCCAGGTCCTTCAGTTCCTTCAGGAGGTCTTCTGTTTCCTCTTGTGGTTGAATCTCCACATATTCAAACACCAATAGAAAGATACATACTATCGGTGTAAGATCTTTGATGTGGTGAAGAATCTCATGCAGTTAGTGGTGGTTTAACATTGTACTGTACATACACACAATGTGCCCTGCTTAAAGCCATAGTATGTAACTATGAGTTCAACTTTCTATTTCCATGGAATCATGCAGTTGACTTTCCACAACCGAAAGTTACATATTAGAACTTTAATAATAATAGTATTAGTAATAATAGTTCATAATGTTATATGTGCTAAAATAAAGTTCAACTTACTTCAGATTGTTCAGGTTGTTCCATGTTACTTTCTGGTAAAAGAGAAAAAACACTATTTAAAAACATTTAAATTTAGCCCAGTCCTTGGTTTTGAACCAGTGTCATACGTTTGAGGTGTCAAATCAGTCGTGGACTTTATATTATGAAAACATGTTTTGAACAGGTTGATCCACACATACTGATGATGTAGTCAGACAGAAGGACTTTATTTTAGATGTGGCTCATGTACTCAAATCTGAACAGAACTATGTAGCCTGTGCTCTTAGTTTTAATTAAAGAACCTATAATCATAAGTAAACCTGGGCTGGAGTCGCCTGCAGATGGAGGACACATACATGTTTTTCAGTACAGGGACGGCATATACAGCAGCAGAGACATTGAGTAATTGTGATTAGCTGCTGGTGCTGGGAGTCGTGAGTATTCAGAGAGTCCTCCAGGTTTACACCAACACCAAAATGAATAGAAATTTAAAATGGAAATGTATGTTACAATAAAATGCCTTACCTTGACATGAAACCTGGCTGGATGAAGAACATGCCATTGTTAATCTGTGATTCTGCTCGCTGCCTGCACCCGTCTGAGCCTCACTGTCTCTGTGTGCAGCCTCTGTGTGTGTGACTTTTTATAGACACACCCCTCCCCCTTTGCTCTGATAGGAAACTCAGCATTTACAAGAAATCACACCACACTCAGATAACAGGAGGACAGACTCATCTTTATTTTAGAGCCAAAGAGGAACTTTAACTTGCAAGATCTTTCATTTTTAGTTTCAAGTGGTCATTTCCACAGCAGACTCATTTTGACACATAGAACTGCTTTTACAACATCAGTACTGTAGCAAAAGATCGATTTGACTTTACTACAGGAACAAAATTTGATACAGCCCCTTTAAAACTGAATGTTTTGCTGTAAGTTGCATTTGTCATCAGGATGTGTGTGTGTGTGTGTGTAAAGATCTCAAAAAAAGAGAGAGAAAATGTATTTTAAAAATGAGAAAACATAAAAAAAATATAGGGTCAAATAATCCTCACTCAGTCATGCAAGCTGAAATAACCTTCTGCTGTTAACTTTAAATATTATGCTGTATTTAAATGGTTAACTGAAAGTAAATGACGTAACCCAGCATCTGCAGTCCACTCAGAACAAAAGTGAAAGTAAAAGATATTAGGGCTGGGGGGGGGGGGGGGGGAGGGGAGGGGGGGGGGGGGGGGGGGGCTCTATAAAGCTGCTGCCTGCATTTCTTCTGGTCACTCTTGTTGATGTTGAAAAGAAGACAGTGACTGCAGACTGCAGGTAAGTGTCAGATATTTAATCCTGACTTCTATCTGCATGAATGAGTTCATTTGTTCATTAACTGTAAAATGGTGTGGGTAAAGGTACAGTATGTGACATTAAGAAGGTGCCACTTCACCTGCTTGATTCCATGGAAATAGAAAGTTTTATGCCATACTGTGGAATATTAGAGCCAAAGCAACATTTCCAAATCCAGACTGATATGTTTGTGTATTTTTTATATGAATTAATTTCAGTCTGGTCACCACACCCTCTACTGCTTCTCAAGTCAGAACCAAACGTGAAGGAAGGAGCTCATTGGTCACGTATCATTTACAAATAAAATCAAATTTATCCCTCTTATAGAATCTAGAATATACTCTAGAATATATAGAAGACTTCATTAGTGAGTAACTCGTAGAAAGTTTATGCTCGTCCCGTGTGAAAAGTGTAGTGAAGCTTCAGGGGTATTTTGCAAAGTTTTTGCTTTCTCTTTTTTTCCATACGGACTCATCATGTGTGTCCCTGATTGGCTAATCCACTTGTCATTCACACCCATTTGAAAACGAGTATTGAAAAGTGTATGTTCTGGATTCCATGAAGCATTTCCATGGAGACAAGCAGGAGGAGACCCCAAAATAATGAGTCAGGTTTGTGGAGATGTCAGCCACCTCAGAGTGAGCTTCAGTGCAATAAACTCTGTCAGTACTGAAATCACAAATCTGACCTTTTCTTAAAGGTTGTATAGAGGATTTTCCAAGGAACGAGAAATCCAGCGACTGTTTGTCCTTTTTCAAATGTTGCGCATGCGTGAAACCACCCCCCCTCCCCTACAGCTCCTACGTAGAAACGCCTCCTCCCGCCTCCTCTTTACGCCACAAACAGGTTTGTTTACAGCCGGTGAGCTGCACATGACTTGTAAACAACTAACTACAGTGTTGGTTAGGCAAGACGGAGAAGTGAGGAGCGGGGGGAGCGGGTGTGCGGACGAGAAGTGAGGAGCAGGGAGAAGAGCGGAGCAGGGAGAGAGGAGAGGAGAGAGGAGCGGTGCGCGGAGATTCCGTGCCCGGAGAAGTGAGGAGCAGGGGGAAGAGCGGATCGGGCAGCGGGGAGAGGAGCAGGAAAGGGGAGCAGAGAAGGATGCGCGGAGATTCAGTGCGAATGAACTAGCTACAACACGCAGCAGCAAGCGGACTCTTTCTTTGCCTTGAAAATTACGTTTTCAGACATAGGATATCGCTTTCGTGTCCTGAAAAACGTTTGACTAGCTCTTGGAAATAAAGTACGTTTTCATAATAAGCAGAAGTTTCCTGTCCAGGAGTAATTTGGCGACCAGTGCGTCAGTCTTTAGACCCTGCGTCTGCTTCAGTCGCGCCATCGCTGGAATGAATCTTCAAGAATCACCTTAGTTTCGCTAGAGACGTAGGGAGATTGATTGACAGCCTGTCAGCTAACAGATAACGAGGCAGTGTCGTTATCTATTGGCAAATGTTTAGCCCCACCACGTCCAGAGTTGATGAATTTTTATTCTCTTTTTTTTGGTCATCATAATTACAAGGCTACTGCACCTCTATAATGCTATCATTGACAACTTGAAACAAAAAAAAAAATCCTCCATACAACCTTTTAACAGGAGAAACCTGTGAAAATCCACAATTTATGATTTCCCAGTATTCTGTCAGTGGAACCAAAGAATGTGCAGTTATAATGAAAGTCGATGGGGCTTTGGGGGAAAACAGCATTTAATGCAAAAACTAAAAAACACGTAAAAATCCCTATTTTATGACATCCCCAGCCTCTGATAATTACAACACAAATAATGTTCTTTTTTTCTTTTTTCATGCACATAATATGATACTTTTGTTGTCAAAAATGGCATTTAAGAGGTTAAAATTGATATTGTATTATTTGGTAATTATGATTAGGGCAGAAGTAAATGAAGACATTGATATAAAAAGTTGAACACTGTATTGCATAAAAATAATAAATATTCTTTTCAGATGTACATTTTTGTGACGACAGATCACAGGTGTGATTATTTTAGGGTTGCACGAGGGTTTTCTCTGTGTATGTGAGTCTTTATAGACAGACTCCTCCCACTTGAAGCTGGAGGAAACTGATTACAGGAAATCAAACCGTACCCTCAGACAACAGGGAGTCAGTCTAATCTTTAATGAACTTTAACTTGCAAGATAGATCTTTCACTTTTATGTTAGTGGTCATTTCCACAGCAGTCTCATTTTATATAATTAATATATCAGTACTGTGGCAAAAGTTATACAATTTTTTGTTCATGTAATAAAATTTTAATTTATTACATGAACAAAATTTGATAGAGCCCCTTTAAAACTCTGAATATGTCTCTCTGTCACCTCAGAGTGAGCTTCAGTGCAAGAAACACAATCAATACTAAAGTACTGGCCTTTCATATGTGTCTGCATTTCTGAAATGCATTAGGCTCCAAGATTAAGCCCAATTGAATTGAAATCAGAATTTGACTAAACACAATTATCAAATCGCAACAACAAAATCTCTTGTCTTAATCTCCATAAAAACTGTTAAACCTGTAGTTTAGATCTGTACAAACAGTTTCTGAAATGTGAGTCTTGTATTAGTTTCCAGTTCAGATTTCAGTCTTTTTGTCAGTTCTTCTGGATGTGTTTAAAATGTGACCTTTGAACAGAGTCCTATTATTAACACATATCTCAAATTTACTCACAATAACAATGCTTCTCCAAAATCGCAGTTAGATATTTTTCCTGTTCAGCTCCTGATCCAGTTGCCTTTTGTGCAGATGCATGAATAATTCTATCATGTCTTCATGATTCATGATTCATGATCATGTGTTTTTTATAGAGAATTGCATCCAATCTTGAAAATGGGACAATCCAAGAGCAAACGTAAGAAAATCACTTGTGTTTTGTGACTTATGGATTTCAAATGAGTTCTAACTTTCTCTTATTGTTTTTTTTTTTTTTTTTTATTACAGATGAACCTGAAGTTCCACGTGAAGCTCCACGTAAGAATCTCTTTTATTTATTACCATTTATGTATTTGTTTTAAAACTGAGGAGTCATAGTCAGCCTCATGTTGTCTCTGCAGTGTTGGAGAAGCCGTGGAGGACAGCCAACTGGGGGTGAGTTGCAGTTTCTGAGTGATTTATCATTCAGGCCCCTAATGGATGCTCTCACATGGGGCTGTGCCAAAAACTCAAAAGTCTGATAGATCTCAGTCTGCTGTACATCTCCACCTAAAAGCCTCGGGCCACTCCTTTTGAAGACAGTGAGGTACAGATTTGAGCCAGAGAACAGAATTAGTTTGAGAGGGGATTTAAAGTCATTCACTAGCTAGGACCACGCCAGCAACAACATAGTGCGAAGAAGTTTATTGATAATGTACGACGCGGGGCAGAGATGGTTGGGTTGAGACTATGGGTGGGGGCTCCGTCTCAATCTTCAATTGGCCCAACCGGAACAGGATCCCCCTTGTAGGGGTTTTATGAGTGAAAGACAAAATAGGGGATGGGAGGGTGGGGTCGAGTTCGCCGAGACAAACTGGGATGATGGGAAAGGCTGCTACATATAGACTTCTGGGAAATTAGAGGCGTGGTCAAGGTGAGTTGTGGTTCGCTGGTGAGAGGAGAGGGTGGCTGAGGCCTGGTCCTGCTCCTGAATCTCAGTTTATCATATTAACTAAATTTTTTTTTTTTGATAGGAAAGACAATCCATCATTGAACAGAAGTGAAGGACACCATCTGACTCCTATTTATTCCTCCATCCTCAGACCTAAATCAATAAGAGCACCCATCAGAGGCCGTGCTAACAGAAAGTGTGTTAGTTCCAGTGTAGTTTGAGTGTAATTAGCTCCTCTCTTCAGTCAGATATAAAACAGTGTCTGTCAGCAATCTGATCAAAACTGAAGAAACTGCTTGGCTGAGCTGTGAGACGCCTTCACATCTTTTGTCCGATTGACAGAATAAAATTTTTCATTTGCTCTGGATCTTATGGATGACTGAGATTACACAGATGTGCATTATGAAACTTTTCTGAACGGGGGTCCACCATCTGTTTGTTTATAACATTAACAATAAAGTGTCTGATCTCAGGAGCAAACAGGACTTGCTGAGAGCAGTGAAGGAGTTCAGACCAACTGATGATGTGAGCCATGTGCGTGTTCTTCTGTATGGGCCTGTGGGGGCAGGGAAGTCCAGTTTTGTGAACTCTGTGGGCATTGCGATCCGAGGCAGAGGAGTCATTGATGCTGCAGCCAACGCCAGCACAGACAGCACCAAGAGCTTCACTTTGAAGGTTTGTCACATTATCTATGGACTCTAATGTGAAACTCTGTCTCAATTCACACCAAAGCACAACGGCACGTAAGCGCAGCAGTACAGCACACGAGCAGCAGACGCGCATCTTTAGACTTCCATTTTAACCGGTCTGACAGTTCACACCGACAGTGTCATATGCACGTCCAACGAGCGTCTGACGCTGACGCGCTGCTCGAGATAGGTTGGAGTTCTAATTTTGCAGCGTCAATGGCGCGCCTCCAAGGTTTTTAGCAGGGGAAAGACAGGAAATAAATACGCGGTGTCAAAATAATTATCCTTATCCATCGGTGCAGGACTCTGTATCAACATATAAACGTATCGGCCTTATTACCTGGATGGACATAAGATTTTAATCACACTCATAATGTATGTTAATTATACATGATTTTACCTTATTAAGGAAAAAAATATGAGGTGTTTAATGTGCGTGCTAATAGATTTAAACCCCATTAAATGCAACTGTGTTGCAGTTGTTCACTTATTACACATTCTAACGTAATACACTTTAACATAAAATAAATGATAAAAAGCAAGTACAAAATGTGATGTCTGAAAACAGTGAGAAGATGTGCAGTCTGCGGAGCAGGAGCGTCTCTGTTGCTCTGGTGTGAATTGAAACTTTAAAATGTACGTGTACGCACAGCTCCGCCTACGTTAAGCGCTGCTGCAGCTAAATGATATATTATTGTCTTGCAGTACAAAACCCACCACATCAGAAAAGAAGGACATAAAGAGTACTATCCGTTTGTGTTCAATGACGTCATGGGTCTGGAGAGTGGTGAAGATATCGGCGCTCGAGCTGAGGACATCAAACTGGCCATGATGGGGCACATGAGGGACGGCTACACGGTACAACTCATTCAGTTACTGTTCACACATTATGTATATGTAGGATGGGATATAATATACAAAAAGTAAAAGACTAATTCATCTGTCTCGTCCTGGAGGCACTCTGGGCCTTGTCTGGTCCTCTGGGCACAGTTCAGGGTCAAAGCACGTTGAGCAAAACTGTAGCACGGCTCTGAAGTGATGTGTAGAGTTTGAGTGTGTCATCTGAGTAATCTTAGTGGAGTTTGAAGACATTTCTTTCTTTTCTTCCTTCTTCCCATATGACAATTGTTAATCCGTTCTTAACAGTGGATCTTTCTGTGAAAGAAAGTTTATGACATTTGTTGAAGCGACAGCAGATTATAAAGCAACAGAGACATTTTTGACAAGTGTGGGGTCACCATCATTTTGGGGAAAATGTTTAGGCAATAATGTCACATATAAATATTTTTAATTGCATGGAAAGCCAAGCAAGAAATATTTCCAGGAATAGTTCAATTATGTAACTCCCTGAGTGGCCAAATTAAAGTTATTTTTTGATTTATGTTATAATATTGTGTCATTGTCACAAACAGACCTGGAGTTGTGTTTTGTTTGATTCACACATGTTCCTGTATATTTGGCCAAGTTCTTCTCTCGAATAGGAAAACAATCTGTTCCACCTTGTGATGTCATTTGGTAATAGAGGAAGTGCTCCTCTGTGTTATTAAACTCCACACATCTTCACTAGAATCATTTATAATTTCACAATGTGAAACAAACCATTTTGAGCTCTGGAGATGTAGATAGACTAATAATAAAAGAAAAGAAAAAACAAACACAACTCCAGGTGTGTTTCTGAGTAGGTCACCAAATTCTAACATGTCTTAAAGCTTGAAGAGTTTAGTGCAGGGGTGTCAAACATACGGCCCTCCAAGACCTTTAATCTGACCCTCGGCTGATTTTTCTTCTAAAATATTTTAATTATATTTTCTGTTAAAGTATTAGTAATTTTCTGTGGTGTTTATCACAGCAGCGTCTCCAGTGTCTCTGTACGTGGCCCCTCCCACCAGAGCAGCACAAATGAAGACTTGTCTCTTTCCAAACGCTCTTAAAGGACGATCGTTTTGACTGTTGACCGTGACACCCTCATCACAAAAACGTCCAACATGAGAAAAGTGGAGCCGAGTGCAGGATTTTACAAGAAAAACTGACTTATTCCTATTTGCAAACAAGTTCATGTTAAAACATTGTGTTGAAATTGCATTTTTCTTAAAGTTTCAGGTTGTTCATAATATTATAATATTTTGTAAAAGAAAGAGTTTCAATTAAAAAATATTTCTGTAATAGATTTGTGTTTCTCTGCACAAATATTTGAACTTATTGCTATTTTTGGGGTTTATATGCCTTTTTTTTTTTCCGGCCCCTTTGGGATCAAAGTAGGTTGGATAGGGCCCCGGACCAAAATGAGTTTGACACCCCTGCTTTATTGTATGTAATATAGGACCTTTAAATGCTGTACATATGTCCATCATGAAAAAAGTATAATGATACAATAGTTGCAGGTTCTATTGAAAAGGAAAGTTCTTGAATCTGATGTACGTTGACTAAAACTCAGTTGATTCTTGGTGACAACTGGGGGGTATTTAATTTGTACTACATGAAATGACACGACAAATGAATAAATAGTGAATTATAAAAGTACAGTTCTTTTGACTCTTTTTGTCATGTTTCAGTTCAACCCTATTTCTACACTGTCGGAGAGCAACACTCAGTTCTATAACCCCACTCCATCTGCAGATGACAAAGTGCACCTGCTGGTTTGTATGTTGTCTGCAAATGCTCCGGACATCAAGCCGTCTGTGCTTCAGAAGATGAAGGAAATCAGAGAGACTGCTCGAGACCTGGGTAAGACCATAAACTGTGTGTGTGTGTGTGTGTGTGTATACACATTGGAGAGAGCAAAGATGAGCTCAGTTCTGTTGTTCTCAGTGCCTGCATACTGTATGAAACAATGACTTTTAAATAGAGGTACAGGTTTAAAATGTCATTGACAAAAGTGTGTTGCTCTGGTGTTTACAGGGATTCCTCAGGTCGCTGTGGCCACACACATTGATGCCATGTGTGAGGAGGTCCAAAAAGATGTGAAGAATGTCTTCAGGAGCAAATACCTCAAACAGAAGGTGAGTATTGTGTAGTTCACCTCTGTTGAATTATTGGATTCACTAAATTCAAAAGGATTTGAATTATGAAATACTAGATGATTTCATTTAAAGCCAAAGAATGCAACTTATTTTTTTAAATCATGAAACAGATTCAAATAAAAGCTTTTTTTTTTTTTTTTTACTATGACTATTAATATTTTAGTGAAAAACACTCACTGGGAGTGGTTCTACTTCCTACTTCTAGTCAGGACCCGAGCAGCAGTGTTGTGGATGTACTACAGCTGTCATACAGCTCGTGTGGAGAGGCCCGTGCACAGGCCGATATAACTCACACTACACTTAGACAACAGTCAGAGCTGATTAAAAAGAAAACAATGTCCTTTTTGTGCACTGCACAACCATAAAGCATTAAAGATATTGCACCAGTTCTATTACACAAATATAATTGACAACACAGTGAGTTCACACATTAAATTCAACAATTCAAATGAAGCACACTGAAAATAAAGTGACTTAAGTGCTCTTTTGTTCTACAAAGACATTGGGACTTTGAGTCGGATCGTTCCAACAGCGTTTTGTTGATTTCTTCCCCTGGACATAAAAATGTCTTGGTTTTAAAGACAGTCATTAGTAGGCAGATTTTCCGGTGCTGGAAGAAGTAAAATGATTAAAAAGCAAAATAAAGAAGGAAGCAGCAGGCGCAAGCAAGGATAGTGTCTGAACGTTTTTCGTGCTCTATGGTGCTCTTCCAGACTCTTCCAGACTCTTCCAGACTCTTCTGGATTCAAAGAGAATGTAGAAGGGACTGGCTGGTCATGGAAGCTCAGAGTCACACTGACACGGCACACGAGGAGCACAACAGATTCAAAATCACATATGGACACACAAAGTTGGGTCACAGAGAGAACAGGGAAAGAAGCAAATCAGGGTTTGGACAAATGATCCTGCAGTGTGTGGTGGTCTTTACTGTATAATGTCCTGTAGACAGCAGGATAAGATGCCGTGTGTTGATGTGTGTACTTGTGTTGTTTGCAGATGGAAATATTCAGTGCGACTGTGGGAATCCCTGTGAACTGCATTTTCCCAGTGAAGAACTACAGTGTTACTGTGGATAATGAGGAGGACATGGACATCCTGATCCTGACTGCTCTCAAACACATGCTCAACTTTGCCGACGATTACCTCGACACATTATAAACATCTATTAATTCACTTCTTTACGTTGTACAATATTATCACTGAGGGAACACACAACTGAATATCAAAGTACATTCACACTCATACACATGCACAAGTGTTGTATGGATGATTGTTTCATCACTATTATAGTATTTTAGAGAACTGCATAATTGTTTCTGATGACCAGTTGAATTTCCTAAGTTTCAGAATGATGAATAATTAGAAACGTTGCCATAGCAGCTAACAATATCAAACAAAATATGATATGTTCTGAATGTTATAAATGTTGCCTGTAAGTATAACTGGAAACTGAAAATGAGAAAAGATGCCTAATAAACAGACTATATATACAATGCTGTTTATGTGTTTATGAGTTAAACTTTATTTTTACTGTATGTCAGTGGTGGAGTGTGTATTTCACACCTCGGCCTTCAGTAGTGCTCCGTCTGAAACAATCCACTCCTCAATAACTACTGGTTATAAAAGCATCTCATTCTACAAAAATACAGTGTAAAGAGCCGTGGAGATTCCGTGCACGGAGACGTGAGGGGTGTGTGCGCTGCACGGAGAAGAAGTGAGCAGCGCTGGGGTGCTAAACCAGGATTAAACCAGAACTAAACCAGGACTAAACCAGGACTAAACCAGGATTAAACCAGAACTAAACCAGGACTAAACCAGGACTAAACCAGGACTAAACCAGGATTTAAACCAGAACCCAGAACTAAACCAGGACTAAACCAGGACTAAACCAGAACTAAACCAGGACTAAACCAGAACTAAACCAGAACTAAACCAGGACAACCCAAAGGTGAACTAAACCAGCGTGTAAACCAGACTAAACCAGTAAACCAGGTGGACTAAACCAGCAGACAAAAGGACTAAACGTAAACCAGCTAAACGTGCGGGGCTCAGTGCAACTGTCGCTCGATTGCACTTTGCAGACACCCTCCTCCGTTGTTTCGGGGGTTTTCTCTCTTGCTCTCTCGCTCTTTCTCAAGTCCAAGGTTAGTCCTGGTTTAGACCTGATGTAGTCCTGGTTTAGACCTGGTGTAGTCCTGGTTTAGACCTGATTTAGTCCTCGTTCCGCTCCAGATGTAGTTTTCTGTTTTGGCTGGTTCTCTCTGACTGTCCCGTCAGCGGCTCTGAATCCGGTGACGTCGTTCGCTGCTAAAGGTCCTGGTGACACCAACTCAAAATCGGATTGGTTGAATCAGCAGTTTCATGGACATTTATTTAGTGTTGGAGGTCCTGCAGAACGGATTGTGAAAGCCTCAGGGACACTTCTTTGACTCTGACTCTTCCTGGCAGCAAGTGTCAGCTGAAATGTGATTGGTCAAATGCTTTCATATGTAAATACATGTGTGGAAGCAGCAGAAGCGGACAGACCATTTGGAGTTATTTAATAATAATATAATTAACATCAGTCTGTGATTCAGATATTTTTTTAGGCCAGCAGAGAAGGACTTGAAGGCCCTGACGCTCCACCACTGCTGTATGTATGATTGTCTAAATTGGACTCAAATGTTCTGTGGTTCTTCTTTCATGAAGGATTGGCTTTTAGGGTCAAAGGACTGCACTCTCTACATTATTTCCCAGTTCTTTAGTGAAAAATACCCCTCTTTCTGCTATGAAGTAATCCAGTAACTGATAAAAGCCCAATAGTCCTCATTATTAGTGAGCCCACAAACGACCTAGGAACTGGATTTAGGTTGTCTCTTTTTTTGTGTTTCTGTGCTGGTTTTGCATTTCAGAGGAGGTTCACCCTGAGCACCTGTGACAGATGTGAAAGAAAAGGACGCTGTGCTGCCTGCACCGTGGTTCAGCATGAGCAGTTTGATGGTGGGTCAGTGATGGTCTGAGGAGGCAGATCCATGGAGGGACACACAGACCCCCAGAAAACAGCAACTCTACAAACAGTACAAGGACAAGATAGAAATACTTCAACATTCTTATATCTCTTTCAGAAAAGTTTGGTTCACTTAAAACTCTAAATGATAAGTTATTCCTTGACACTCTGGTTTACTGAAAATAATATTTTGTTCCAATAAAAACATTGTAGCATTTGTTTAAATTTTTAAAACATTTTTTAACACATCTCTTTGCTCATTTGTCAAGGCTGTCTGTTTGACCTGTTCTGTGTGTAATACGGTACAGCACTCCACAGTGAAATGGTTTTATTCATTTAAAAATGCCAATATATAAAAAATACTATTGTTAGTAGTAATAAAATCATGCGTGTCCTAGTCACATTCAGCTTCCTGTGACCTTCTATTCATCCCTCCACAGCTGCACGTGTCACAAATGGGGAAAATTCTTCTATACTACAGAACAAAGAACAGAACTTCTTTCATTTGAGAGAAGAAATGGTGTTTTGATAGGCCTTATTCACAGAGCCGCCCGGCCAGTTCCGCTTCTCTCAGAAACTGCAGAGCCGCACTTCCTGCTCCAGTCATTGTGCATTGGGAGTTGGCGCCAAATAGTCGTGCTAAAAAAAAGGAGAGCAGGTGACACAAGGATAATCACAGACAGCATGTAAATACTTCACTGGAGGAAGCTTCTGTGTGTATAAAAGTTGGTCTTTGTGTATCCAACATAGAGTGTGTCTACATGCACATCAAGAACCCGGTTATGATCGGGTGTTTTGACTATCCTGGTTTCTTCATGGTGCATGTAAATGCAGTAACCCGGTTTCAGTATCCTGGTTATGGCAGTATCCCGGTTATTAGAAACCGTGTTACTGTAGCTGGTTTATTCTGATAGTAACGGGATACTGGTGCATGTAAACACAGTATCCCGGTTACTGCAACATAAAGTTGAGTGTGCATGCCTCCAAAAGACACTTTTCAGTCTTTTCACCGCAACAGTAGCGACATAAATAAATTGACCAACATAAATAAAGTGACCACACGAGTAAAATGACTGTAAATTTAAGAGCTGCGCTAAACCTGCACATGTACAATCTGCACTCGTCTGACCTGCACTTGTGTGATCACTGAAAAGTTAAAAACATGAACTATCTCCTGTACTGTACACACACAGAACAGACTTGGCGCCTCTTCTGTCATAAAAAGAACACACATAATCCACAGAGTTGTGTCCTTTAGTCCAAAAGAAGCTGATCGCATCAGCGGCACAAGGAGCAGCTTTTTTTATCACCGCTAACAGTTTATGCTAATTAGCCAAACGGTCTTAAGTTTCGTTTCTGTAAAATGTAAACAAATGTGATCAGAGCTGAATGATCTGATCAAACGGGCTGATGTGGCTCTACAGTGTTTATGGTTTATATGTTGTAAAGTTGAGTTTATTTATGCAGAAGATTTGAATGAAGAATCTGTTGATGTGTTTGATGTGTGCAGTGGATTGTGGGAGATCTCGTAGCTCCTTAGCTTCTTATGCTAAAGGAGCTCACGGTTTGTATTTTTCCTGGTTTATGAAATTGATTTAAGTTCATTTTTGCGCTTGCGCATTTGTAAGATTATGTCAAGAAACCGGGATACTCCATTTGATCATGTACACGTGGATATGAGTGTCCCGGTTTCTCAGTGCACATGTAAACACAGTAACACGAACACTGACAGAACCGGGATATGACTAATAACTGGGTTATTGATGTGCATGTATACACACTCATAGACTGTATAAAGAAGTGGACTAAGCGAGTGTGTGACGTCATCCACAGTGTTCAGCTCCAGTCAAATGAAGCTCATCGATGCTCACAGTTACAGGAGGGAATTTGGAGCCAGGTTCTGTTAAAAAAAAACAAAAAAACACAAGAATCATGTGTCGCGAGTCTCACAGCAGCAGGTACAGAGAGAGGAGCCACAATATTCTAATGTAAGTCAATGGGAGCCAGAGTTAGAAGGAGCCAGAAGAGCCACATGAGAACTTATTTGGAATGCAGCGGCTAGCACACCACCTATGTCCACTTATATGTATCTTTTTGTATTTTGTATTTGTATTGTTGTTTTGTGTATATATATATCTATATCTATATCTATATATATATATATATACACACACACACACACACACACACACACACACACACACACACACACACATATATATATATATATATATATATATATATACTTTTTTTTTTTTTCTATTTTATTGTGCATATGATTTAATTTGAGATCAGGATTTGTATGGAAAATGTTTTCTTAAAGCTTAAAAAATTCAGTAAAAAAAAAAAAAGATAATTTTTGAAACTTTGATAATAAATCCACTGTCTGTTATAAAAAGGTCTTCTGGTCCAGATAACGGTGATCAAATATATAATTTATTTATTATATATACATAATAAACAATTATTCAGTTTTGATTTAGATTCATCTGTGCCGTCCTAAAACTTTAAACACGTTCCAGTAGCTTATTAAAAGCTCTTCTGATCTATGTTCTAATTATGGATGTCAAATTATCGTGTTAATTGTGATTAATTAATTACAGTCATATTCAGCATGTTATGTTTTTTTAATTGCGTTAATCTCATTTTTAATCTCTAACTTTACTGTTTCTGTATGTGAGTTGCCTTATTATAAAATCAGTTTTTATGTGTTGCTGGGACAATAACACATCGCTCCTGCAAAGAATTGTAATTTTCATTCCTGTTCTCGCCGCATCTGCGATAAACCTGCACACATCTGATCTCTGAAAACATCGCGACACAGACACAGAACAGACTCACCTTCAGCATCAACATCCCTCTGTCATATTCCACTGAGTCGTGTCCTTTAGTTCTACAGAAGCTGAACCGCATCAGTGCACAAGAGTGTTTTTTTTTTTTCTCCGCTGTTTATGCAAATTTGCCATGCTGTTATAAGTTTGGTTTCTGTGAGACTTGCACAAATCTGCATTAAACACATTATAATGTCAAACAGGCTGATGTGGCTCTCGAGTGGTGATGTTTATATGTTGTAAAGTTGAGTTTATTTATGCAGATTAGTAATAGTAATAATAATGATGATACTGTGGAATGTAAGTGACTGCATCTGTTAAAGTTTGTTAAACAATAAATAACTTTATAAAGTCACTTTTTTTGTTCTGTATCAGTCTTTTGATCTGCCACAATAATGTAATAATGAATTTAAATGAAAATACCTGAAGTTGAGGCTTTTCTCAGCAATTTTTATGTGAGATTAAAAAGAGATTAATTTGATTAATTAATTACAGATCATAATTAATTAATCTCTCAATTTTTTTAATCGCTTGACAGCACTAGTTCTAATGTTTCCTGATCACAAACAGACCTGAAGTTGTGTTTTGTTTCGTTCACACAAACCCTGTAGATTTCTCTTCCCTCAAACAGAAAACACTCTGTTCCACCTTGTGATGTCATGTAGCAAAACAGGAAGTGCTTTTAAAATCAATTTGTGCCATTTCAAAGCTGGAATCTCTACTGAACTAAAGGTAAAAGGAGCTGTTAACTTAAAAACTACCGCTTCAAGACATTTTAGTTTGTTTAAAGAGGCGCTGCGTTGGTTTGAATCTTATTTGTCCCACAGACAACAATGTGTTTTCCTCTCTGGTTTTAAATCGCACTACCTTCACTCTCCAACAGGGGTCTCCCAAGGTAGTATTTTAGGACCTATTTTATTTAGTTTATGCATCAATGATCTTCCTGAAATGTGTCCAAATGTCAGTGTCCAGTTGTATGTTGATGATGCTGTGATCTTTACACATGCCAAAACTGTACAAGAAGCTTCAGAAAAGTTCACATCGGCCAAGACTCGTGTCCAAAAGTGGGTCAAGAACTCGTGTTTACAACTCAATATAAAGAAAACTGTCTGCATGATGTTCAGGAAAAAAACAACTGAGTTACAGTGGTCCAGTGTCTTTCTGGACGGGGTGGAACTCAGCCTCATCAAAGAGTTTAAATACCTGGGACTGACGTTGGACCCGACATTAACATTTAAGAAACACATTAAGCGCCTTACAAAAACTGTTCATTTTAAACAAGTAAGATCTTTCATGACTCTATATGCGGCAGTAATGTTTTTATACTCCATGATTGTGTCTCATATAGATTATTGCATAAACACACGGTCACTTATTATTGGTACAAAACTCAAACCCATCAAATCCTTTTTTTAAAAAAGCTGTAAAGAAATCACTCTCATTTCACCACTGCACTATTTTAGACAAATACAATTTGCTTAATTTTAATAATTTTGTTGATTTTAAATACGGATGTTTTATCTATAAAGTTGTGTATGGACTTGCCCCTCCTCCGTTACAGGATTTTATTAAAACAAAGACCGTCAGTGGGAACTAGAGCCACGGTGCGGGGGAACTATGAGCTCCCACACAGACGCACCACATTAGGACAAAGTGTGTCTCAGTCAGAGACACTAAGTTCTGGAAGTAAGTATGTATTTATATAGTGCTTTTCACAGACATTTTTGTCACAAAGACGCTTTACAGTGCATATTTATTCCCTCTATACCAGGTGATGGTAAACTACTGTTGTAGCCACAGCTGCCCTGGGGCAGACTGAAGAAGCACAGCTGCCATGCCAATCAGCGCCATCGGTCCCTCTGACCACCACCATCACTCACACACACACCACTTTCATACTAGGCAATGTGGGTGAAGTGTCACAACGACAGTGTTCTTGTGACTGGTGCCCCCCTGTGGCTCTTGATTTTCCCAGTGTCTCCCATCCAAGTACTAACCAGGCCCAGACCTGCTGAGCTTCTAAGATCTGACGAGATCAGGCTCTGACAAGCCGGTATGACCACGAACATTCTCCTTTTATCAATAAAAGAAACTCCAACACTGGACACTTTCAAATCCCACTTGAAACTGTGGCTAAAGGGAAACCAGACTTATGGACACTTGTAGTTTAGAACTGTCACTTGTTTTTGTTGTTTTTTCTGTTAAATTTGTGGTGTCACCTGCCGAGGGACTACAGATGGAAATGAGCATTCTTACTATCATCTGGCATATTTACACTGCAGTGTTATAGATGTTCATTAATATACACTGTCCCTATTAAATCAATCGATAAATAAATACATAAATAAATGACATCACAAGGTGGAACAGAGCATTTTGATCTTTGGAGATGCAGACAGACTAATAAAAAAGAATTACTCAAACGTGTGAATAAAAAACACAACTCCGGGTCTGTTTTTGAGGAGGTTATAACATGGCTAAAAGCTCACAAGACAATTTTGCATAATATAGGACCTTTAATATGTGTAGTAGTAGTAGTAGTAGTAGTAGTAGTAGCTGTAGTAGTAGCTGTAGTAGTAGTTGTAGTAGTAGTTGTAGTAGTAGTTAGAAATATTAGTAAAAACTGTAGTAATGATCAAATTTGACATCAGTATCAGTACAAAAGCACAATAGTGAACCACCATTTATTTATTTGCAACAATGTTTATTTATTTATCTCTTCCAGTTTCGGATGTGAAAAGAGGCATTAATTTCTTTAATTAAATATCTTTTTTAATAAAGTAAAGCAAAAAAGTATTTACAGATTTGTCATTTTCTTTTAAACTGTGTAATCAATGACTTGGGTTGGGTTAGAAGCACCTTCTGCGCAGAGAGGACATAAATACAAAGCATTTCGAGGGGCACATAACATGAGCATTTGAAAAAAACAATCGCATATTTACAGACGCTCCTTGAATGCATCTCCACTCATTGGAAGCAGAAAAGGCCTTAGGATTCGTACTGTAGTTTCTCTTTTTTGATAATTATATATTTTATAGGTCACATCTTTTTAAAAACAATCCACCATCAGGTTTTGCAGGTAGGGCAGCTGTCCAGGTCCATACAGGATCAGTTTTTGAGCACAGGGGGGTAAACGGGATGCAGTGTGGGATGGTTTGAGTGTAGTACATGAGGCGACAGGGAGGGGGCGCCCTCCAGCAGCAAAATGGTCATGAAAGTTCAACATCGCCCCAAATGAAGTCTTTAGTGAAATCCTCAGGAGACCACAACCGTTACGAGTCCGAAATGTGGTTCGACAACTCTATTTCGCATTCACTTATCTTTGTAGTTTTTTGTTTTATTAAAAAACACACACTCCACTCATCCAACACCAGAGAAAGCAGGAGCAGGAACTACATCAGCGCGTTGTGTAGACCATAGACCATAGAAGAGTCCTGTCCACATGATACAAGGAGGAAGTCATCAAAAATATAGAAGAAACAGCTTTTCAAGTCTATATCTCTCATAAGCAAAGTGTCTTGATAGTGTTGCCGCGATGAAGAGGAGCCATTTTGAATTGTAACAAAACAAAAAAAAATGGCATCTTCTCCGACGGCGCGTGACGCTTTTCAGCATTCTCGCATCTACGCTCTAATAAATCCTGTTTTTAGATCTCAAAAAAAGACATTTGGTTGCACAGAGGACAAGAAAATGCAAAGTAAAAGAAAAAAAAAAACGGAAATAACATGATCGAACGTGCGATCCATAATACAATCTCTCCCAGTTGAAGAATTTTTTTCTCTCTTTTTTCTGTTTAAGCAGAAGGATTTTTGCCGATTCAGACCCTCCTCTGAATCGTTACCCACAGTCCTCTCTGGTTGGGGGGGCGGGACTTAGCTGTTGTCCGATTCGTCCTCGGCCTCTCGTAGCCAGGTGAAGAAGGCGGTGACGGACTTGAGCGCGACGCCCTTCCCCAGCTGCTCTGAGGGGTCTTTGCTGGACTCCCACTTGTAAAAGGCCTCCTCTTTGATCACGTCCTCGTCGTACAAAGTGTCAAAGAACATGCGGAGCAGATCTGAGCACAAACAGCAACAATGACACACAGTTAAATACAACAGTTTTCACCAAATAAAAGTGGAAACATGGTGACTCAAGGGTCTGTACACAAGTGTGTGTGTTAGTTTCAGAGTAGTTTCAGTGGAGTTAGCTACTCCCTGCAAGCAGATATAAGATGGTGTTTACCCGCATCTGACCAGAACTGAAGCTTGGATGAAACGCAACATATTTGACCAAATAAAGTTTTGTTCAGTTGACAAATTGAATTTCTCCTTTTGCCATGGTGATTCAAGGCTTCGAAAGAGAATATTCACAAATAAAGTGCATTATTGCTGAAATCAGAAATAGTTACAGTATATATACATAATTTTGTTTTTTGTTTGCCATCTTAACTTTGAAAGATGTGTTCATGATCTGTAAGACCAAAGAAGATAAGCACATGAGATTTCCTGACTTTTGTCTGTCAAATGTTGTGTCGTCTGTTAACAAAATGAAATATCTTGGGCAGATCATCACTGTGGACATGGTAGATGATGATGATGATGATGCTCAGGCAAATCCTCTTATGCACAAGTTTGGTTCTTGTACATGATGTAAAGTTGTTATTGTTTAAATCATATTGTACACTGTTGTACACAGCTCACCTCTGGATTCATTATAAAAAAGTCAGTTTGCAAAGACTACAGGTGCGTACAATGACACTTTGTACTTTTGAGGAGGCCATGATGGACGAGTGCGATGGAGATGTTTGTTACTGCACGAGTGAACACTCTACAAGCTGCATTTAGAATATTAATGTACAGTTTTATCTGCATGAACAAATCAGACAAAGAAATAATAAAGTCACTCACAAATTTGAGACTCAGTGCAATACGATATCAGTCCAATATGTGGAGACACTGGTGTGGTTGTGTTGTTTTTTTTTATAACTTTGTTTTTATTGGTTTTAAGTAAAATTTCAACACATACAAAAACAATATATATTTTTTTAAATGTAACAACAGTCTGGAGTTACAGGTTCTTATTTAAACATGCATTTGTTTTTTGTTTTCTTTATCACCCGGCGGTTGATGTTGGCCTGAGAGCCTGAAGCCCTGTCAGACCTGGATTTCGGTGACTTCATCTTCTATCGACAGTTACCACACAATCTAAAAAAGGTACTGACGAAGATTATAACTTGTAGTCGCTAAGTTACGAGCTAGTGGCAGTTAGATCTAGTAGCTGCTACGAAGTGTAACAGATAACTGCACTAATGCAAAACTAAACTAAAACCTAAAATAAATTCTGTGAACTGTAATTAAAAACTACAAGACACGACGACGACGATCTAAGAACCCGACCGCACTCTTCCAAGTCTGAAACTGACTGTCCTTGTCTGTTTTAAACGTGGACCATGAGTCCGGAATAAAGATGAAGATGATGTTACAAAACAGAATTAGGGCCGTTCACAAACAAACAAACAAAAAAAAAAATCTGAATAAAGGTGTATATGTACAGATGTGTGTAAAAGATATAAACCTTCTACATTATTTTTTTTTTAATGATAGGGGTAATTATTATTGCTATCATGATCTTTTTGTATTTTGTGTTTTTATTTATTGTATTTTATTGTAGTTAAATGGTTTATTTTGAGATTAGGATTTGTATAGAACATGTTTTTTGAAAACTTAAAAAACAGAATGATTTTTTGGGTGTGATGTCTCGACTCACTTGCGGGCTGCTCCATCTGCACCATGAGGGCCTGCAGCGCGTACAGGGCCTGGAGCTCCTTCTGCTCGTCCTTCAGAAACTTCAGCAGCAGCTTCGACCTCTGTTTGATCACGTCTGCGTTCACTTTGTACGGGTTCTCACCTGGAAAGAGTCAAGCGGTGAAGGTGTGCAACTTTCTGGGAGCAGGGTTCGTGTGGAAGATCATTTGTTCTGTCAGGTTTTGAATTTGAAATGCTGCTGAATTTCTCTCTCTCTTTTTTCTGTTTTTAATCATTCTTTTTTTAAATTTTTTTTAATTAAGAACAACACACAAGATGCATTCCATTAAACATATCATCAACTGTTGGTTCTTATTTTCATATATACCTGTTTAACCGCCCTTTCCTTTCCTTCCCTCCTTCTCCTCCCCTCTCCCTTTCCTAATCTCCTCCAGTCTTCCTTTCCCTTCCCAGCTTCTCCTTCCCTATTCTTCCCCTCCTCCTCCCCCCTTCCTCCCTCTCCCTTTCCTCCTTCTCCTCCCTTCCCTCCTCTTCCCTCCTCCTCTTCCCTCCCTCTTCTTCCTCCTCCCTTCCCTCCATGTCCTCCCCTCTGACTTCCCTCCTTCTCCTCCCTCTCCCTTTCCTAATCTCCTCCCTTCCCTGCTTCTCCTTCCCTCTTCTTCCCCTAATCCTCCCCCCTTCCTCCCTCTCCTACCCTCTTTCTCCTCCCTCCCTCTTCCCTTCCCTTCTTCTCTGCTCCTCCCCCCTCCTTACCTCCTCCTCCTCCCTCCCTCCTTCTCCGCTCCTCCTTTCCCTTCTTCTCCTCCCTTCCCTCTCTCTTCCCTCCTTCTCCTCCCTTCCTCCCCTCCCTCTCCTCTCCCTTTCCTCCTCCTCCTTCCTCTCCTCCCCTCTTCTTCCCCTCCTTCTCCTCCCTTCCCTCCCTCTCCTTCTTTCCCTCTTTCTCCTCCCTCCCCTAACTCTCAAACTCAACCGTGAAAAAAACATATTCTGATCAATTCTTACACTGACTTGTATCGCCCTCTGGTGGTGGTTTAAAAGAACGCAGCCTGGACATTAGAACCATTTGGAGGTATAAATGTAGTGATGGTTACTAAAGTTACTGCAGCCCTGTACTCCGCCCAGAGCCCTGACATCCCAAATCGTGCCCAAAACGAGGCTCAAGACGAGAGGTGACGGAGGCTTTTCTGTGGCAGCGCTCAGACTGTGGACCAACCATCCTCTTCCTGTCAGATCCTCTGTCTGTGACGCAGTTTAAGACAAGACTGAAAACTCACCTCTTCTCCCTGACATTTAGTACGAGCTGTTCAGGTTCTCTTGGTGTTTTATTGTAGTTTTCACATGTTATCAGTATATCTGTACAAGTTTATGTTTCTTGTTAAGCTCTTTGGTCAGCTGAAGTGGTTTTAAATGTGCTACATAAATAAACTTGAATTGAACCGACTTGAATAAAAACAAACACATGCTTCTATTTTCTGGCTAAAAAGTTACATACAGTGGAATTAAAAACAGATTAAAAGGGAGATAATAGAATAAAATAATAAATGCTTTAGTGACTCACAGATGATGGCTGATTGACAGATGCAGGTCATCAGTGCTCTCACGAACAGGTTAGAAGAGGTCTGCTTCTCGTCCAGGTTGGCCTATCAAGTGACAGACATATTATTATTATTATTATTATTATTATTATTATTATTATTATTATTATTATTATTATTATTATTATTATTATTATTATTATTATTACCTCCGCCAAGGAGGTTATGTTTTTGCCGGTCATTCTGTCTGTTTGTCTTTGTTTGTTTGTTTGTCTTTGACTGTTAGCAACATAACTCAAAAAGTTATGGACCGATTTTGATGAAATTTTCAGGATTTGTTGGAAATGTGAAAAGGAAGAACTGATTTCATTTTGGGGGTGACCTGGAAGAAATCCTGGATTCTGGATCACTTTCTGGAAATTTTAGTTAACATTGTGGTAAATGGGGCCAAACATTTTGTTTCTCAATATCTCGGTTAATTATTGACCAAACCCCATGAAATTTGACTCAGGGATGGACAATGGGATCCTCTTTCATATTCCAAATTGAAAGATATGAGACAAATATTTATGGAAAACACAATTAATATGAGGGGGACTGTAGTCCTTGGCGGAGGTCTGCGCTCTCTGAGTGCTTTGCTAGTTATTATTATTATTATTATTATTATTATTATTATTATTATGCTGGTCATTAGACATGCTGTGAGCTGGAGACATCTGTCACAGTGAGGGACACTCCACATGCTCTCCACATGGACACTCCTGCTCATCCACTGCACCAGACTATAGAGGCACAGATAATACTCCCTACAACTGTACAGTAGATCCTCCTTATGTAACAGATATCCCCATGTCCTGTCAATCATCATATCATCTTTACACTGTTTGTCTTTACGACCTCTTGTATAAAGTTGAGCTAAAACTATTGACAGTTTAAACATGTTATGGATATGAATCTTCATAATTTGTATATTATGTTCCATATTTAAAATGTTATAGAATTGTACATTGAGTGACTTGTTTCTGCATATTCTGATGAAAAAATACAAATTATTTTTGCTGCTCTCACGATTATGTAAAATGTCTCACATTTATTGTCTACTATTGTGTACTGATTATTGTCTACTATTGTCCCATCCCTATTTGGAAACTGTTTTGTTTCCAAAATGCGCTGAATAAATAAAGTGGCTCTGGATGTGGTAGTTAGTCTGTATGTGTATGTGTATGTGTATGTGTATGTGTATGTGTATGTGTTCATAGTTTGATTGCACAGACCTCAATCCAGTCAAAGATCCTCTGGTTGTCGGCTTGGTCCTGGATCAGTCGCTCCAGATGCTGTGTCAGCTCAGACGAACTCATCTCACACTTTTTACTCTTCTCAGACTCTTCTCCCAGAGTGAACTCTACATTCTGCAAAATCACAACATGGTCCATGAGAATTACAAAAGATAACTGCTCTGAGTTAATACTGCATAAGGCATAGAAAATCTCTGTTTTCTTAAACACACTGGATGATAATGATTTGAATTGTTCAAACAGGACGAGATCTTTACATTTTCATCCTTATCATATCCTATTACATAACAAATATGTATGTTATATCCTATAACATAACAAAATGTAATGGTTAAAATTAAAATGAGACTTTTTTATATCGCCAGTTGTTTACTTACACTCACATAACCTTCTTTGTAGGTATGAAAGTCAGGAGGAAACTTGTTTCATAATAATCATAGATTTTATGATTTAGCAATTTTTCGAAAACTTGTTTTTTGAAAACACGAGTTAATCGAGACAAATTAATTTGTTTAATTAATACACGGATAATGAATAGTGTATTTATCCTTCACACCACGATGGAACAGTTTTGTAGAATAAAAGTCCAAACATTATGACATGCTCTTGGCCAAAATCAGCCTGTAAATAGTCCTGTAAAGTTCTGTAAAAGGACCAAGCTTCACCAATATCAAGGATCCGATACCTGGTCCAGCTAATTTTTCAGTATCAGTGCAGATATTCAATACCAGTATCAGTAACGGTGCATCCCTGTGTAGCATTTGTAATAAACCAAACCAGAGATACCCGAGATATCCTGCCAAGTATTCAATAAAGACAAAACAGTACATTTTTTAGTCTTGTATCTTTCTCTTTACATTCCCAAGTACAAAGTTCAGTATTTCAATTTTCAATATAGTTTTTTTTTTTTAAGATTTTAAAATGTCACTTGAAAAAGATTTAGCCAATTCTTGAGCACAGGAATCACTACAGCAACTTGAGGACTATATTCATCCCATACTCCATAGAACTGTACAACTCCTCATCCTTATGTAACAGATTACTTGTACATTTATATAATTTTGCTTTATTTGACACGAGTCTCTTGCTATTATTTCTTCTTATTTAGAATTGAATATTACCATTTCGATTTTTTCTCTTTGTTATTATAACATATTGTGATGTGTCTAAGTCTAATGGATAACTCAACACACTTTTGAAACTTATTTATTTTTATTTTGTTATTTGTATTTTCCGTACCTTTTCTGTCACAAACTTGTTGACATCTTCATCTTCAGGTAGATAGTCTTTCCATTTGAGACCGGCTTCTCTCCACATCGCGCCAGCCTTTTTATGGCTCTGGAAAAAGAAAGACAGACACTTTAGTGATGCTGAAAGAAATTCAGTGAATACAATGAAGCAAACAGACCAAAAAACAAACAAACGATTCAAATTTAAACAAGCAAATATCAGATCATTTAAAAGTTAGAACTGTTAAAGAGCAATACATGGACTCACCATTCCTTTGCAGAGTAAAGTGAGGATCTGGACCAGTAAGACTCCAGCTTTCTCCAGAGGAATCAGAGGTTTGGCCACTTCCCTGTAAGCAGACACATGTGTACAGTTTAGTCAGTTCATTCATAACACGGTATTAAAAAAGGAAAGCTGTAAGGTAATACGTCTGCATAATAAAAGGAACAATGCATGAGCAAGAGAATTCTTAAGTATTTAGCCACTTTCACAACTATTTTTGAAATGTATTTTATTATCATCATACATTACTACATTCTATTCTATTCAAGATATTTGCACTCACAGACTACCAGTACAATTCTGAATTTAACCCTAGTCACCTCTATCACAGTTCTGTCATAAATTGTTTAGTAGAAATAATCTGTTTAATTTCTTGGATTCTGAATATGGATATTTGTCTCCATGGAGATGTTTCTGCTTTGCCTGGAATGTTACACAGTATTAACCTGGCTCACACAGATTGATTTGGCTCTGGAGTACCTGAACACCTCTGTCTGCAGTACCTGAACTCTGAGCCTCTGTAGTATCTGAACACCTCTGTCTGCAGTACTTAAATAGCTCTGAGTCCCTGCAGTACCTGAACACCTCTGTCTGCAGTACCTGAAGAGCTCTGAGTCTCTGCAGTACCTGAACACCTCTGTCTGCAGTACCTGAACAGCTCAGCCTCTGCAGTACTTGAACAGCTCAGCCTCTGCAGTACTTGACCAGCTCTGAGTCTCTGCAGTACCTGAACACCTCTGTCTGCAGTACCTGAACAGCTCTGAGTCCCTGCAGTACCTGAACAGCTCTCCCATGGGGATGCCTCCTTCGTGGAGCATGGGGGTGATGAGCTCCGCCAGGTACAGCCAGATGTGAGGGATGTCTATGGCCATGTCCTCAGCCACCTCCAGGATCTCCTGAAGCCTGCATGCAACAAAGACAATAAGTAGGGAAAAGAAAAGGTTTTTATTAGGGCTTCGGCACATTATTTATTCACTCCTCAGTCACACTCTGAGTGAAAGGGTGGCAATGATTCAGCTCCAACCATCATTCACAAGTGCTTTGCTCAGGAGCACTACAACAGAACAAACAACAAACTTTAGTTATGTGACTGAACCCTGCTAACTAAAGAAGAGGTGGGCGATATGACAATTTAAAACAGTTTAATTCAGCTTTATTCTCAGTCAGAAACTTTTACACACCAGACTCCTCCCAGACTTAATACGTTCTGTACTATGTAGTATTATTGTTGTTGTCGTTTGGCACTTTGGTAATCTTTGGCTGATCTAAAAGTGCTTTATAAATAAACTTACAATAGACTTTTTTCACAATGGCTGGAAGTCCCACGTTGTAGGTTTGAGGAATTTCCGGTTAATGGTTTTCTTTGGCAAAATGTCTGTGGAAATGTCCCGCCTACTCTCCACCAGATGAATAAATCTGCCTCCCCCATCTCCAAATCATCAACCAACAAGCTCCACAAACTATAAACAGTCTTCCATGAAAAATGTATCTACAACTAGGCAGAGGTAAAAAAGACGAAACAACAACAAAGGTGAACAACGACGATGCATTAGTGAACTACTGAGCAAAACTAACATTATGGTAATTAGTAAAACATAAATAACTTGTTAACTCACCCTCATTCTACAATTAAAATTAAAAATCAATTTCATGATGTAGATATTAGCATAGATAGATTGGTTTGAAAGTGAGACATCTCTAGGATACCATAATGTTGGTGGAGAATACGCAAGACATTTTGCCAAAGAAAACCATTAACTGGAAGTTCCACAAACCTTAAGGCCCCGTCCACACTAGTTTGTATTTGAGTCGTTTTCGTTGTGGATGCAGTGTTCGTTCACACTAATCCGACTGAAAACGGCTCCAGAGACGGAACGATCTGGTGCCGCCAGTTCCCACGGATTCATCTGAGTACGGATCTGATCTGGCACTGTGTGGACTCCTGAAAACGCTGATACTCTGATGTAGGTCTATGCGCCGCAAAGTAATTCACCACCAATATGCTAAGAGGCTAGAATATATGTCCATTTATTTCTTTTTATTTAATGAGACAGGGACAGCGCACAACTTTTACATTAATCTAATTATGCAGACGACACTCAGATCTATGTCTCACTGCAGCAGGAGACGATAGACCAGTGGACTCACTTTGTCACTGCATCCAACAGATCAGTGTGTGGATGCAAAACAACTTTATCCAGCTAAATTAAGACAAGACTGAAGTCATAGTGTTTGGGCCACAGAAACAAAGGGACAGTGTCAGCATCACCTCCAGTCTCTCTCTCTAAAACCTTCAAATCAGGCAAGAAATCTCGGGGTAATAATGGACTCAGACTTGAACTTTAACAGCCACATCAAATCAATAACATCTGCAGACTTCTACCATCTAAAAAACATAGCAAAAATCAAAGGTTTACTGTCTAAAGCAGACTTGGAGAAACTTATCCATGCGTTTGTCTCCAGTAGGTTAGATACTGTAATGTTCTGCTCACTGGTCTCTCCAAACGAGCTGTGAGACGCTGCAGAACATCCAGAACATCCAGAACGCTGCAGCTCGGGTCCTGACTCGAACTAGGAAGTACGAGCACATGCGTCCTGTGCTCAGGTCTCTGCACTGGCTCCTGTGGCTCAGAGACTTTAAAGCAGCTCTGCCTGTACAAGTGTCTCCATGGCCGAGCACCAAAGTCCATCTGTGACATGTTAGTGTCATATGAACCATCTCACACTCTGAGGAGCTCAGGGACCAACCTCCTGCTGGTGCCCAGAGTCAGGACTAAACAAGGGGAGTCAGAGTTTCAGGTTCATGCAGCTAAAACCTGGAACAGTCTGAACATGTGAGACAGACTCTGTTTAAATCCAGGCTCAAAACATTTCTGTTTAACTGTGCATATGACTGAAAGGTTTTCATTCCGCACTCTTCTCTCCAATTTATGTCTCTCTTTTTTAAAATTTTAATCTTCATGATTATTTATGTTTTGATTTGTTTTTATTATGATTTTAATGTAGTTCTTATTCTGTAAAGCACTTTGAATTACTTTGTGTACGAATTATGCTATACAAATAAACTTGCCTTGCCTTAACCTTAACAGAGAGATGTTTGCACCAGGTTGTAGCACCAGTGCTAATTTCCACCTGTAGTCCCCGGGCAGGTTCACTGATTGCCTGTATTTAACTGACCTTGGCTAGCAACTGTTTTTCCTGGAGACCTATGTAGCATGTTTTGGGGTTATATATACGATCTGTGTGTATGACCTGCAGACGTCTAATCTCTCAAAAGTTTAACATGAACCATCTCCAACGCGACACACGCACAGAACAGACTCACCATCAGCAGAACACCCCTCTGTCACAGAAACAACACATATAATCCACATATAATCAAGTCCCTTTAGTCCGACAGAAGCTGAACTGCATCAGTACACGATCGCAAGCTGTTTTTTGAGCTCTTAGTTTATGCAAATGAGCCATGCGTTTTTAAGTTTCATTTCTATAAAACGTAAACAAATATGCTCAAAGCTGTGTGGATAGGGAAGGCTTGCCGACACAGAAACGACGTGTCTATTCCGATACGGTGATTTGTTTCAGTGTAAACGTAACCTAAGACTAGAAAAAGGTCTACATTGGTGGTTTTCGGATTCTAGAAAGTGATGACGTCATACTCCCAGATGAGGGGCAAGAGACAGTTTTCCCTATGGATTACATTGTACTTTGTCACAAAATATACAAAACATAAAAGCACAAATGTTGAACCTGATCATTTCTATTGCTGACTCGACCCCAAGATCTCACTGTATGACAACAAAAATCTGCATTCCAACTATACTCATTTTAGCTTCCCCCATCTGTATTAAATAACAGAGGCCTAAAGAACTTTATGAGGTCATCTGAAACCCAGCAATAAATCAAGTACATGAATCGTTACAATACTGACACCTTGGCCTGGAGCTGGCCAATTAATTCAATTGTGATCTCATTCCTGTGACAACATGCTGTTATGGTCATATTGTGCTTTCATCACCCACCTCTAGAGTGGCTTGGCTTGAGCTAAATACAGGGTTTGTGTAATTTTAGTACATTTGTCCTTGCCTGGATTTTTTTTCTTAATTTTGCTCTTACAACTCACCCTTTTACCCTCTAATGAAGTGTTATACATCCTTTTTTCAGTACAACCTGTTATTTCACAGTCTGCATGCAGTAGTTGTGTCAAATGGAAGTAATAAAAGCTATAGGAGCAGAAATACAAATGAAAAAACAAAACAAAACTGAAATCAAATTGACACTCTTTCGTACAAAACACACAGCAAACATGTATAAACTACTTTTTGGAGATAAAAAATGCTTAATTTAGGACCTTAGCTACAAAAGTGCAAAATATCAAGTCTATAAGTAAACTAAAAATATCAACAAAAAAAAGTGCAATGGCCCCCTGACTTTCCTGCTGCAAGTCATGGAAACAACTGGTGCCAGGTCCAGGGCACAGAGTCACATCACGTCCTGCATTTCCGTGGGGTTTATTACATTTGGATTTGTACATTTTGAGAGGAATAAACTAGTGATGGGCAAATGAGACAGAGCTCCGGAGCACGTCTCGTTCTTTCTCAAACAAATTGCAGCAGCCGCTCACGTGACCGAAGTGTGGAAGTGTCGCTCCCTCTCCCTACTGCTTCGCTCTGCGTGTCGATCGCTTCAGTGTATCGAAGCGTTTCATTGGCTCAGCGAATGTTCCGCACTGCGATTGGTTCAGAGTGCTTCAGAGTGTTCAGCGCACTTCCGTGGTTTGACAAGCGCTAAACTGCTACAGTATAAAAGATGCACCAATATTTGTTAAAAATGTTGGGTAGTGACGAGTGTTGTGTGACGTTAGTGGTGATTTTGGCGACTTTTGGCATTTGTTTCATTTTCGATGGCATCTACAAGTGGAAAAAAGTGATCCATGGTCTGGGATCACTTTGGTCTAATTAAGGGAACCTCTTTTCTTATTTACAGCTGCTATTTATGTTGCTCTTTACATATTATTTTAAATCATCATCATTATTCTTGTTGTTGTTACGGTGTCGCTCTGCACACAAGTATTGTCTTACACTGACAATACTTCATCGATGTTGAGACACCTGCGTGCCAATGGTTAAATTTGTCCACTAGAGGTCAGTGTTTCTCCAAGGTCTCAGACACGTCCAACCATTTGAGACAATATTGCGACTGAGGTGACAATGCTTCACGAGGGTCCAGTCGCCCATCACTAGAATAAACCTTTCAAATCAAAACACCAAGGCAATAACAGCTAAGGAATTAGCGTAATACAGGCCCTTT